TTTTTTAACAGTTATTTTGATGATTTAAAAAATTGAATATGGAAAAAGACAGGATTTATTTTTCATAAAAAATTATTTTTATAAACAAAAAATGTTCTGACACTTTTAAATGAATATCATAACGATATTCAATACCCCTGAATAAAAAAAATATTGAGACAAAGAAAAAAGTATTGAAAAGTATTGGATTGAACAGAAAACCAATACTTTTTTCTTTATGTTAATATTTTTTTTTAATCAGGTACATGCAAATCTTCGGTATTTTTATTTCACACTATAAACAAATAGAGAAGTCATTCGGATTTAATAATTTCAAAATGTTTCATAAACGTAAGATTAATCTCACTAAAGGAACAAAAAGTAAAGAATATTACTCGATAAAGACTATAGTTGATCGATTAAAAAATTAATATGTTACCCATACAGATTGAGAAGTAAATTAATGAATTAAATTATAATATTTTCTATCGAAATTTTTTTATAAAAACTAATCTGAATCAATTTTTGAAATTGATTGTCTTTACTTTTTTGTGCCTCTAAAATTTTGGCATTTCATAAATTTTGCCGCCCTTCAAATTATGCCGCCCTAGGCCCGGGCCTCACGGGCCTAGGCGTAAATCCATCACTGAATACGGGCCTAAATCCGACCCATCAAATTTTAAAAGGGTTCTTTTTTAGTCAAAAGATATTTCTGTCATAAAACACTTACGTGAAATAGACCTGCCCTCTAGCGCCATGTGGGGCTTGCCATATCAAGGTGGCAGATTGTTTAGGTTTGGGATCTGCATGTGTGATAGCGCTGCATTCGGGGTGTATTTTAGTATTCGGAGTTTCCAACCAACTTCCAATCCATTCATTGGTTGCAACGTCGCGTCCTTGAATCAGAAACCCTTTGAAGTTTGCCGCTCCATGAATAGTCACTAAAAAAGAATATACTCATATTAAAGTAGATACCGGTAGAGCTAGATTAAGAAAAAATGGACCTAATAATATTTAAGAAAAAATCGACAATCCCACTCACAATTGGGTAAAGTAGAGACTGTATGAAGAAGGCGGGTAGGATGCATTGAGGTATAGTGCAGAGGATGGGATGTAATCTTCTTTACCTCTCTGAACTTCAAAACATAGGGATTTACTAAAGAAATCATTGACTCGGTCCTCACAACTTTGCCTTTATAGCCTTCTAGTACTTACTATAATCCCTATTCTAACCAATTGTTAATCAACTTCATCATTATCATACAATATGAATTACATTTTTAATATTTTCAATATGCCATGTCAAAGTGTAGGTAATATAATAGATAATCTCATGTAAGAAATTTTTTGTTAAATCCAAAAAATAATTTTATCCAAAAGTAACAGATACTATATTCCTATTAGTCTCTATTTTTTGTATTTTCGACGTCTTTGGGAGACAATGGCAACATTATAAATACTATTATTAGTGACAAAATTGTATTTTAAACTGTTAAGGTTTAAATAAGAAAATGTATCTCATAAGAATATATAAAATTTACGAGTAGATACCTATAAATATTTGTGAATTATATATTTTAAGTAAGTAATGACGCGAAATAGGTGTAAAATAATATAAATTCATAATAAAATAGATGAAAAAGCCACATAGACAAAAACTGGTCCAAAAATTTTTTCTATTTCGAAAAATTTTAAAAACTGGTTAAATTACGGAAAACAATTGTTTTAAATTAGAAGTTATAAGTAATGAAGCTATATAGGTGTAAAATAAGAGAAATTCCTTATAAAGTAGATAAAAAAGAAAGATAGACAAAAACTAGTCCAAAAATCTTTACTATTTCGAAAAAACTTGAAAACTGGTTAAATTACGTAAAATAATCGTTTGGAATTTGACTTTTTAAGTAATGACGCTAAATAGGTGTAAAATAAGAGATATTCATTATCAAATAGATGAAACAAAAAAAGATAGACAAAAACTAGTCCAAAAATCTTTTCTATTTCGAAAAAATTCGAAAACTGGTTAAATTACGCATAACAATCGTTTTGAATTTGAATTTTTAAGTAATGACGCTAAATAGGTGTATAATAATATAAATTCATTATAAAATAGATGAAAAAGCAAGATAGACAAAAACTAGTCCAAAATCTTTTCTATTTCGAAAAATCTCGAAACCTGGTTAAATTTTGGGAGCCGACATCATTGTCCTCGACCGTTTTTATTTTAAATTGGAACAAAACTTAGCCGTGAAAATAAAATATTTTTTCCGCTTACCTGTAATTTGACTTCCAGGGCCGTACTCAGCGCTAGTTTGCAATATCTGGAATGGACTGCTTTCAGCGGGCTGAGGCCTGGCCTGTCCATGGTAGGGCTGATTTACCCTTGGTTTAACGCAAGCGTCAATCGGCGCCCCATCTGGAAAACTGTTCACTCCCAATACCAAAGAAAGTATTAGAATGGAACTCAACTGTGTGTACATTTTCAAAAAAAAAAAAATATTCCAAATATTTCTAAACTACCTATCAAAAATCTAATAAATTCTATTGAAGCAAGTAGGGCAATTAGATGGAAATATTTTTGTTTTTTTTGTGGTTTTGTTGTTTCTTTCACCAAGATCGGACTAAAACTATATTTGATTTTGGAATGGCAAAAGTCGAAAAACCAGATTCTAAAAGAGTCTGTTTGAGCTGTGATCTACTTTCACTTATATCTCTGATGTTGTGGGTTGATTTACAGCGTGATACACAAAATATTTGAGTTAACAAAACAACACTATTTCATATCATTAATTAATAATATTTTAACTTTCCGTCCTTTTCCAAATATTTAGGCACCATATACCTTCCGGATTTTTTGAAAACCGTTTAACCAGGAGCAAAAAGTTTCTAAAACAATCAAGTGTGTCAAAAAAAAAATTTAAATACACAATAATTCTGCTTTAAAAATCATCCATTTCATTTTAGTATTTTGAAATTTTGAGTTTTTTTGAGAAAGAATAAGGGCTATCTTGAAAAATGCTATATGAAGAACGAAGAACCCATTTAGCGATGATATAGAGCCTGCGATAAGTTACCACGCCGCAGTTGCGTTCTTCCCGATACGCTTCCGGGAAAGAAAACGTAAGATGATTTAAATAATTTCCATCTCCAGGTAAGCATGTATGTACTAGTATATAGGATATATGACCGTTGTTTAATCGCTTCGTATCATATCCACTAACGGAGCAGGAGCAGTGGCAGCTCTTGCATGAGGACACTGCCTTCCCTGCCCAATAACATTCTCCTATTCCAACACGAAAAAGATAAAATATATATGTTTTCTCAAGCATCCATGTAGGTGAATTAATTTAACGCCTTTACAGATTTCATTAGAGATTGGAATCGAGACTGTCTATTCCTTGCTGATGACTTCTAGTAAGCACGAAACCTGTCCAAGAATGACGTTCTCCTCAGTAAGCAAAATCAAAGGTAGAGTGTTGAAAACTATTTTCTATCTCTACTGTTTTCCTTTAGATATTATTATTATGGCTTCGATATTTATTTCTATTTTTTATGTCTTGGTCACATGTCAGTCAGCATCATAAAAACATTTTGGGTTTTTTCAGTTTTAAAATGGTTTTAATGTGGTAAATAAGAAGATACTGGTTTTAAAGGTACCTTGTAGATATACTGCGGACACTTAAAAGCCGTTTAGCATTTAATACTGGTTTTAAAGTATCTAATAAGATTCGCTAATAAGGGCAATTAATCTTAAAAGTTTGTAAGTCTTGTTGTAGTTTTAAAATGGTTTAGTTTCACTTAACTTTAAAATTACTTAGTTTTATGAAGGATTTGCAGATTGTTTGGTTTTATTATGTTTTAGATTGTGACGTTTCAGTTTTTAAGTAGTTTTAAAGAGATTCTTAATGTAACTAATAAAACCTATTATTAAATCTGCTTGATCTTAGGACAATTTGGTCAGTAAATATTGCGTTTTAAAACTATTTCATTACTTTTTCTTATAACGGCTTTCTTAAATGCAATTAGATAGCTATATTAAAACGGAACACTCTTATCTAAATCAATTTGGTTATCGTAAAGACTAACTGTACATCTTGTTAGAAGCAATAAAATTAAACTCATCCCCTATTTTTACGTGGCTCAAATGAACCCCGCATGTTGTATAATGTCAAACAGGGGTGTACCTACGATAATTAGAAAAACTGAAAACAATATATTATTATTATTAATCTAAAAATACACAAAACACAAACGACTGATGTGACACGGAGATTTTAAAGTTAGGTTTACATTAAAACCGAGCGGCATTTATCACAGCCGCATTAAAACTAAACCGTTTAAAAAACTCGATTAAATAAAACCCTTTGCTCTTAACGTTTCCTTTTCATTAACTAAACGGTTTTATTTAATTTCCGGCCATTTTAATTTCTCGAGATGGTGGAAGCTATGATAGATAAAAATATTTAGGCTTACATAAAAACGATAAGTTAACCACTTAAACGTATAATTTCGATTTCTTTTAATACAGAAAAATCTAAAATTATAGATAAAATTATTTTTCTCTCTAATTTATGTTTTTCAATTTTCAATTTTGTTTTTTTGGATTATAAATGTTTTTCAATTTTCAATTTTTTTGGATTATAAAATTTCAGAAATTTATCGATAAAGTCGGGTGCGCAGTATATATATCTACCCTGACATTCCGAAATCACTACCTTACTTTTTATTATTTTATAGTTCATGCACCATGGTTAGAGCGTCACCATATTATCATTCTCAAATATAAATTGCTTTTATTTGCTAAAATAATTATGTATATAGTTTTAAAAAACTATTTTATATGTTAACAATAAGACAAATTATCTTTAAAAGTATACATGTAACTAACATTATTAAGTCCACTTCAAAACCGGGTGTATTTAAAGTGGTTTTAAAAGGGTCTTCACAGCAGCTTTAAAATCAGTTGTTCAAGGTAATATAGTTTTATGGTGGTTTTTATTTTTGGTTTTATTGACTTTTGTTAGAGTGGGCCCTTTTATGCTGAAGGCGTATTTATTACAACCTTAAAGCTCCTTTTAAAACTAATTGGTTTTAATTGCAGTTTTATTTTACAGTTTTAAAGCATCCTTGAAGTACTGAATAAAACCGTTCGGCGCTACTTGGGTACCTAATACCTATGACGTTTCTCCAGCGGTTACGCATGCAAATATGTACCAGTGGCGTGCGGTGACATCTTTGGAAGGGGAAGCGATTTTATAAAAATACAGCAGGCCAGTAAGTACAGCGCCGCAGACGAAAATTTTTCGCGGCGCATTCACCGTTTAGTCAAAATCTTGCTTTTCTCCTCAGTACTACGGATATTCGAGATTGAAATTTTTGAAGTGTTACTATTACTTTATTACCTAGTTTAGTATTAGAAGCTATAAAAAAACTTACCATTGAAAAGCTTCCTTGGTTTATTTAAACGTAAAAAAAACACAGTAGTTGACATTTATTTATAATACTTAAGATCTATTGGCTTATCCTCAATGGCTACAAATTCGTCTATAACATCGTCGTAAAATTTTGGATTTTCTGATAACTGTTTAACAAGCTGTTTTTCAATAGGCTAAATTAGAGAGTCTGTCTTAACTTGTTGAATTTCGTATAAAACTTTTAATGCGCTTTAAAGCTGAAAATCTTCGCTCAACTGAAGCACACTTGTGGCTGGGATGGTTAGTACTAATTCACACAACTTGACGACTTCACAAAGGGACTTATTTAAACCAGTTGTTATAAGAAAATTTAACACATTGATGAGCGTCTTTTTATCACTAATTTCAACTGTTTCATAAACAACACTTAACTGGGACTTTAATGCTGGAATATCGAAAAAATTTCCATAATTTAATTTTAATGAATTAAAAGCTGCCGATGGAAATTTTGATGAATCGTAGTTACTAATATTAAAATTGCACAATTCAACAAATTTTAATTCGTTAAAGTTTTGAAATCGAGAGTTCATTTGTTGTAAAATATTATCAAAAATTTCGGCGTACATTCGACGATAGGAGGTTTTTCTGTCGCCGACATTATCAATTCTAATTCTCTTTATTTCAGGTTCTAAGCCAATGTTTTGAGTCTTACTCCAAAAGTGTTCAAACTGATCTAGTTTTTTATTCATTTTATTTTTAAAATCATCAATTTTTTTAATGCAAAAGCCAATGTCATTTGACTTTGTCTGTAAAATGTCGAATAAAATGTCAGTAAAAGGGAAAATCTCTGCAAAAATGTTGAGCAAAAAATTGAAATCAACGTCTTGAAAAAAGTATATCAAAGAATCACGGTATTGAAACACTCTTTGCACTAAACGTCTATTGTAGTTCCATCGCATCGGAGCAATTTTTGGAAACGTTTTTTGAACGTAAATGTCCAAAGCGCGAGTTCTTTTCGATAACTTTGAAAAGAAGGAAGCCAAACCACTAAGCGTAGAAAATAAAACTTTGCCATCTTTAATATTATCCATGCTTCGCGATAAAACCAAATTAAGTCTATGTGCTATACAGTGAACGAAAATTGCAATGTTTCAAATTCTCTTTCACTTTAGCTTGAAGGCCTCCTAAATGGCCAGCCATTACGGCAGCACCATCGTAGCTCTGGGCAACAAGCTTAGAACCACATTCTAAACTTGAAATAATGTCACAAACAATGTTAAACAATGCATCTGCAGTTCGTTCTCTAGTGACGTCCAAAAATCCGAAGTATCGCTTTTGAGGAACGCCATCCAATACATATCGCACAACAATAGATAATTTACTTAAGTTTGCTACATTTGTGGTTTCATCAAGCGCAATTGATACGAAAGGTGCTTTTTTAATTTCACTTTTAATGTGATCCATCACAACGTCGGCAGTGCATATAATTAAATCATTTTGGATTCTGTTTGAGGTACCTCGGAAAGTCGTCGAATCAATAAAATGATTTTTTGAGGTATCATCGGCACAGTGCATAATTCCTCCATTTTATAAAAAGAAAAACAACTACGAAAAACAAACCGAAATCTATCTGAAATCTACGATTTTCTTCACACGTCGATTCGCGGTGCGAATTGCAATATGCGTAAGGCGGCGTAACAATCGCTGCCTCTCGAGCGTATTTCACGTGCCAAACAGACTGACTATTGTCGCGGCAAAGCAGGGGTCAATAACACGAAGCGAAATCACTTGGAAGATGAACCGGCTGTTTTAAGACGCGCTTCCGCCGACGGACTCGAAGTACCTATATGGTGTGTGCGTTTACACAATTAATTTTCTCACGGTCCTACTTATAGACACCTTTTACAAATTTCCTCCAAAGAGCGTATTAGGTATCGCGAATTTGCTTTTTGTTTGAGTGTGCTCAGACGCTTCGACGAGATATGGATAAAATCATTGGTAGTTAATATATTTGAACCACTGCCGCTTAAATAAATTACAGTGTAATAGTTTATTTGACCACAGTTCGTCTCGTCTGTTCTTACTCTAAGAAACATTGAATTAGGAAACAAATTCATAGTTCAATAATACCACAAATTATAAAAATACAAAATATACAGCATTTTGAGAAGAACCAACCAGAAAGAATAATTGATTCGATAATGAAAGATGCGTTTCGAAACACCCTGTATATGCGTGTTTAGTTTTAAGCACCCAACCTAAAAATGACATAACGCATGTTTTATCTTCTTGCATTTATCTTCTAAACTTGATTTGGCTACATTTCGTGTCGTAACACACGTTACTTTGTTATAAACTGATGAAAGTTTCTTGTGAACATGGCACTTATTTAGATGCCCCCGAGTACAATTAATTTGTAATCAGAAATGTCTTGTAATAATAATCATAATTGAAAGTGTTCTAGATATATAATTTAAAATCGATTAAGTGATTAGTTGTTAAAAAAAGTTAACGAATAGAAAGAAAAAGTTATAAATTAAAGTTTTTACTAACTTGTTTTCCCAGAAGAGAGTCGAAATAATATGTTTTCTACCCTTAATTACTTTACAATCTCTAAATTACATCGTCCAACAGCTACAAATGCTAAATATTTTAGTTTCGAGTATTTTTAGATAATGAAAAAACTAAGCATACGTGCTTGTACGTAAAACTATTATAAATAAAAATTCTGTCATTTTTTAATTGATATTAACATTTTTACGGGTAAGAGTGAATCGGACAGCCAAGTAGTGTAGATAAAACAACGTCAATAATAGTTGTATTATAAAATATTGTTAGAGCAAGGAAAATAAAATTGCAGTAGGTAGGTACTATTTGATAACAAATAGGATATAGTGAACTTTTAGCACGTCGGAGCTTTGAATTGATCCCATGATTTAAAAAGGTGGACAATGTGGACAAAATCAGAAGTCCATATTTCTCCGAGCAGTTCGGCCCTCCCGGGATTATTTCCGAGGAGCTCCCGTAGTCGGCGCCTATGCGTCAGTGGGCAAATAAGACTAATAAGAATTTGGAGGAATTTTAACAGAAAAATGAACATTTTTGTTAAATATCTCGGATATCGGCGGTGAGCGGAAAAATGATTGAAAGTCAAAAGGTCGAATGTGACAAAAGATCGATAAGAAAATAAGAACGAAATGATCGAAATTACAAATGATCGAATCTATTGTATATGATCGAAATGGTACAAGATCGAAGGCAGAGACAACCTTTTCCTATAGGAATTTGTGACACTTTCCTATATGTAGGAAACTGTCATAAATTTTCGATGTATATAAAAATGTCAAAAATTCCTATAGGAAAATATTCCTACGAGTCGAGAATCGACCCCCTGGGAGTGTCATGGGCCTGCCCATACTCCCATGCCAACGTTGCCAAGTCGACAGAATAACTTTGATCTACTATTTAAGAGCCGATTCCACCGTTGTGTTAAACGGATATTAAAGTGACATTGTTAATGTAAAAATGTCATTTTAAACTTCGTTTAACACAACGGTGGAATCGGTCCTAAATAGTTCAAATTTCCTTTGTGATAAATACGGACACATACTTTGATTTTCTTTTACTATACGGAGAATGGTCGCACTGCGCAGCTTTCTGAGAGCCTTTTAAAAGGAGATAGAAAACTCCGCCATTTTGAACCCTTATTACGTGTTGCCTACATCTTGGCGCAATATTTTTAATAGGTGCGTTTTAATTATCCACTTCTGCTTCGGAATTGTCGGTTTTCTTGTTTTAATCTGACAGGTTAAAACGACTAAACCGACAATTCCGGAAGCAGAAGCGGATGATTAAAACGCACCTGATATTTTGCTTGCTGCTGTCAGTGTCAGTGAATATTATTTTTGAAGTCACAGTTTATTGCTAAAGAATCAGTTAGCTCACTCGGACCAGTTGAAAGTTCCAAAATAACATCCACTCCAGGGATGCAAATTCAGGATACGCAGAAGACTGCTGTTTTATTATAGGTGGTTGTCATATATTGTATTATCCGAGTTGCACAGTGTATAAACTGAATCATTGAGATCAAAAGTGCCGACGCAGAGTGAGCGATCTGATTCTTTAGCTGTAAACTGTGTTACAGGGTTCAAAATGGCCGCGCCCTATGTTGGGCGTGTCGGACCTCTCTCTTGCCTCGTATTAGTAATCAAAGTATGTGAATACGGACCTAAATCTGGCAAGCCCGCAATTCTCCCTCGCATGATATAAAATCTGACCTTACTATGCATGTACCTGGGCTAAAAGTGAGTAAGCACGATATACCCATCTAAGAGTAAGAGAGCAAAATATATGGGAGCACTCCCATGGGAGCGCTCCGACTTAGTGTTAGTGAATAGCTATCCTGGGCAATTGCGGGTTATTTTGCAAAAAAGTTTACATAAAATGAATAAAAAAACTAAAATACCTAGGTTAGGTTTCCATTTTTCCATGTATGTATAACTGTTGCAAACGTGTTGATAAGAGGGTTTATCAGTTAATTTGGAGTGCCCGTGGAGATCTGCAGTGACTATGGCAGACATTTTAAAAGCCAGCTCTTCCAAGGAATCTGTGATAGACTAAACATGAAGAAAACTAGAACTACAGCGTTGTACCCACAGTCGGATGGATTGGTAGAGCTAATTAATAAGACTATTGACAAGTATCTGTCAAAAGTGGTTTCCAACCATAAGCGAGGTTGGGATCAATATCTTTCGCTCTTTGCAATAACGTATAGTTCTGCTGTAAATGAATCAACAGCCCAAACACCAGCAAAAGTCCTGTTAGGGCGTGAGATGAGACTACCGTGTGACCTCTAATTTGGATGCTGACCTGGAGAAAACAGCCTGTGAAGATTGTGATCCAGCTACGAAGAAAAATGGAAGACAAGTATGAGTTGGTTAGTTTGCAATTTCAAATCGCAAGCGACAGAATGAAGGATCGGAACCATACCCAAGCCACAGAAGGATGTTTCAAGGAAGGCGACAAAGTCTGGCTCCATAAGCCAAAAAGGCAGAAGGGCCTTTATCCAAAGCTCCGGAGGTCTTGGGAAGGTCTGAACTTCATTAGAAAAAAATTAATGATGTCATTTACCGTATAAGTAAGATCCCGAACGGTAAACCAAAGAAAGTGCACCAAAACCAACTGGCGCCATTTGAGGGTGACCATGATAAAGAAGAAGAAGTAAACCAGCTTCAAGAAACACCTGAAGAATTTTTGAAGAATTTATGGGTGTATATGGAGGTACCGGAAAAACAGGATATGGTGTTACAACCGAGAAACAACAAGATCTGCTCACGCTTCCTAAAAACTACTCGCTGGTCCATAGCACTTATACCAGCATCAACGACGCTCGAGGTCTAGCATCTCTATTATCGAAGAAGTTTGGTCGATTGCCAGAACTTTAAGGTCAGTTTCCAGCCCCTGGAAAAGTATTAAAACTTCAAGGTGGATCGCGTAATCTTTTCAAATTAACAAAGAATACCTTTCGAGATCAATCCATTTATCATGATGTATGGGAAGCATTACTTAGGCTGAGAGAGCAGGTACTGGTGTACAATGTACAGAAACTAGCCATGCCAAAGATAGGGGCAACCAGATGAATTGGAGGATCATTAGAAACATGGTGGAAGTAATCTTCCAATATACCGAGGTCCAAATACTGGTCTTCAGCCATTCGCCTAGTGTCTAAGTTACAGTGCAAACCGTCCCTTATTATTTCCATACAAATGAAAATTGTAAAAGAGGGTCCAGTTGCAAATACAACCATTTAGTTTTAGTTCCAGGAGCAACTACCTCTTTAAGGAAAAGACCATGTTCTTTGTTGACCTTCACCGTTGCCGCTACGTCTACCGTTGGCCCTCTGGCGTTCAAGAATCGACTAGAATGTTTCCTTGTACGCAAACCGACGCTTGAAGGAAGGATTTCACGAACGCGTAGAGATTCTTCCAATCAGGATGTTTTTTTCTAGGCTGTTACATTTTTGTATATAAGTAAATTATTTTGCAGTACGAAGTTTTAATATAAATGTTGTCAAATAGAGGTTAATAATTGGTAAATAAATTGTAATCGCAAGATATGTATAAATAAATTAGTACAGTACTGATCTTGTAGGTATTTTTTTTTTTCTTAGCTGAAACTCATTTAATTTTGTAGACATCATTTAAAATTATATGAGCTTTTAAAAATCAGAAACATATTGCGAGATGGGCAAGTGACTGTCTCCCAAAGCAAGGCCAACATCATTTAATAGAAATATAATGGCCTTTCAACATTTAGCCAACATGGTCGTGTCCCTATCAATTGCGGTAAAGGATCATCAGTTTCCGGCAGTTAATTGTTTGTTGGAGAATCTATTATGTGGGGTGTTCATCTTTTATGGCTTATTTTTTTATTGGAGACGAAAGTGGGTTTCAAAACAAGTCGTAATCGGTGATCTAGCTTTTTACATGACCTATGCCAACTTCTGTGACAGTTATGCGCGCTGAAAATTGAAAGAGTGTTTACTATGTTTAATCCTTTATTTCCATATAAATTAATACAAAAAAATAGTAAAATAACTTAATTCCTATTCGGTAATTTCAAAATCAGAAAAACTGTTATCCCCGCCGTCTTTCCTATCTTCAACCTCATTTTTTCTAATATCATTCTTATCCGAATCCTCGACGTCGAACAGCACCTTCTTTTTCACTCCGCCCCCGTCACCAGCGACATTTTTCAAAGCGCTTTTCGTCTCTTTCGTATCGTCTTTCTCTCTCGTTTCCGCTTTATCTTCTCGATCGAAGAGAACTACCGAGTTCAAATCGGAATCGGTGTCTTGTTGGGGTCGATTTTCAGAAAATTTGGATTGCAATTCTTCGATGACGGCACTGTGGACTTTTTTCTGATCGAAATTTTTCGGCAGATACGTTTTTATGTCGGTTTCGCTTTCGGTGTCGTATAAGGAACGGTTTTTTATCGTCACGGCGGAGTCTGGCTTCAATCTACAAACAGAAATTAGGAAAAAATTGAAACGGAAATTTTTATTATTTATTATATAGTTTGACCTAAATGAAATCGGACCATCCATATAAATTCTCCATTTTTTAAAAGATTCCGACAATATTTTTTACAGTAACATAAAGTTTAATAATTTAAAATCCATTTTCAATGATGAAATATGATTTTTTTCAAGACTAAAGAGTATATTCGTAGTATAGTCATTTATAAATTATATTTGTTTATTACGAAGATTTTAAACAAATTCTAAAAATTGGCAACAATGTCTACAAAATTCAAACGCCATTAGTAAATGTTGAAAGACAAAATATTAAAAGCTTATTTTACAAATTGTGGCGCAAAGCCAACCCTGTGCTTTATTACGGTATCGCGCTGGCCATATCAAGACAAACGTACTGCTTCTCGAAGCTGCCGGAGTGATTGCTTTGCGGCGCGGCGTATGAGTCATAGAGAGGGACTTTAGGAATATTCTAGTTCGCCTGGAGTACAGAGCTGGCTTTATATAAATAGCGCGAGTTGTCGACGGACGGGGAAGATTGAATTTAAGTAAAGACAAATTGTAATAAATAAATTAGAATTGTGAGTTATAATAGTGTTTAAGTAAGATATAAATTAATTATTAGTACGTTATAAATAAATTGCAAATAAGTGTTTTAAATAAATAAACTATAAATAAATTACACAAACGTTTCAATATGTTTGTTTTAAAATATTAATATTGCAACTTTTATCATTAGTAATTTAAAATTTTATATGTATAGTTTTAAATTTAAAAAGATAAAATAAAAAGAGTGTAAATTAGAAAATATATTAGGTTAGAAACTTAAAAATAAAAAATTAACTGAAAATTTAAAAAAAAGAAATTGTCAAAATCGAGCTGAAATTAGCTGCAGGATCGGTAAGAAATTACTACACCTACCCTGTTTCCTCCGGTAAATGTTTCCTAATCTGAAGTCTGACAACATTGCGTTTCGACTTTTTTCGATTCGGGGAATCCCTGGTAACAGTGGGCTGTCCTTTTTGCTTAAGTTTTTTCAGTTCTTTGCTTGAATTCAATGATTGTTCGATCGATTTTTTTATGGAATCATAATTTGGAAGACACTGAAATGACATAATAATTAATTTTTATATACTTATTGATATAGTTCTGGAGTTTAAAAAGGATTAAAATAAGTCAGTAATATCTGGTATTAGTGAAGTACGTTTTGTTGTGATGACTTAAATACTCAGTACACTGAACAGAGATATAGCTGAATATTTTACTTGATTTGTAAAATCCTATTACAATAAAAAGAACATACACCGCCTCGTCATAACCATTAGGTACTTCGAATTTAAAATACATAATATCTATAACTATTAATAAATAAAGAATGAGTATAAAAAATATTTCCTGTATTCCTATATTTCCATATTCCCATATACCCATATTATTAAATTGCTATATTCCTATATTCCTATATTCCTATATTCCTATATTCCCATATACCCATATTATTAAATTGCTATATTCCTATATCCTATATTCCTATATTCCTATATTCCTATATTCCTATATTCCTATATTCCTATATTCCTATATTCCTATATCCTATATTCCTATATCCTATATTCCTATATCCTATATTCCTATATTCCTATATTCCTATATTCCTATATTCCTATATTCCTATATTCCTATATTCCTATATTCCTATATTCCTATATTCCTATATTCCTATATTCCTATATTCCTATATTCCTATATTCCTATATTCCTATATTCCTATATTCCTATATTCCTATATTCCTATATTCCTATATTCCTATATTCCTATATTCCTATATTCCTATATTCCTATATTCCTATATTCCTATATTCCTATATTCCTATATCTTCCTATATTCCTATATTCCTATATTTCCTATATTCCTATATTCCTTCCATATTCCTATATTCCTATATTCCCATATTCCCATATTCCTATATTCCTATATTCCTATATTCCTATATTCCTATATTCCTATATTCCTATATTCCTATATTCCTATATTCCTATATTCCTATATTCCCTATATTCCTATATTCCTATATTCCTATATTCCTATATTCCTATATTCCTATATTTCCTATATTCCTATATTCCTATATTCCTATATTCCTATATTCCTATATTCCTATATTCCTATATTCCTATATTCCTATATTTCCTATATTCCTATATTCCTATATTCCTATATTCCTATATTCCTATATTCCTATATTCCTATATTCCTATATTCCTATATTCCTATATTCCTATATTCCTATATTCCTATATTCCTATATTCCTATATTCCTATATTCCTATATTCCTATATTCCTATATTCCTATATTCCTATATTCCTATATTCCTATATTCCTATATTCCTATATTCCTATATTCCTATATTCCTATATTCCTATATTCCTATATTCCTATATTCCTATATTCCTATATTCCTATATTCCTATATTCCTATATTCCTATATTCCTATATTCCTATATTCCTATATTCCTATATTCCTATATTCCTATATTCCTATATTCCTATATTCCTATATTCCTATATTCCTATATTCCTATATTCCTATATTCCTATATTCCTATATTCCTATATTCCTATATTCCTATATTCCTATATTCCTATATTCCTATATTCCTATATTCCTATATTCCTATATTCCTATATTCCTATATTCCTATATTCCTATATTCCTATATTCCTATATTCCTATATTCCTATATTCCTATATTCCTATATTCCTATATTCCTATATTCCTATATTCCTATATTCCTATATTCCTATATTCCTATATTCCTATATTCCTATATTCCTATATTCCTATATTCCTATATTCCTATATTCCTATATTCCTATATTCCTATATTCCTATATTCCTATATTCCTATTCTATTCCTATATTCCTATATTCCTATATTCCTATATTCCTATATTCCTATATTCCTATATTCCTATATTCCTATATTCCTATATTCCTATATTCCTATATTCCTATATTCCTATATTCTAATCCTATATTCCTATATTCCTATATTCCTATATTCCTATATTCCTATATTCCTATATTCCTATATTCCTATATTCCTATATTCCTATATTCCTATATTCCTATATTCCTATATTCCTATATTCCTATATTCCTATATTCCTATATTCCTATATTCCTATATTCCTATATTCCTATATTCCTATATTCCTATATTCCTATATTCCTATATTCCTATATTCCTATATTCCTATATTCCTATATTCCTATATTCCTATATTCCTATATTCCTATATTCCTATATTCCTATATTCCTATATTCCTATATTCCTATATTCCTATATTCCTATATTCCTATATTCCTATATTCCTATATTCCTATATTCCTATATTCCTATATTCCTATATTCCTATATTCCTATATTCCTATATTCCTATATTCCTATATTCCTATATTCCTATATTCCTATATTCCTATATTCCTATATTCCTATATTCCTATATTCCTATATTCCTATATTCCTATATTCCTATATTCCTATATTCCTATATTCCTATATTCCTATATTCCTATATTCCTATATTCCTATATTCCTATATTCCTATATTCCTATATTCCTATATTCCTATATTCCTATATTCCTATATTCCTATATTCCTATATTCCTATATTCCTATATTCCTATATTCCTATATTCCTATATTCCTATATTCCTATATTCCTATATTCCTATATTCCTATATTCCTATATTCCTATATTCCTATATTCCTATATTCCTATATTCCTATATTCCTATATTCCTATATTCCTATATTCCTATATTCCTATATTCCTATATTCCTATATTCCTATATTTCCTATATTCCTATATTCCTATATTCCTATATTCCTATATTCCTATATTCCTATATTCCTATATTCCTATATTCCTATATTCCTATATTCCTATATTCCTATATTCCTATATTCCTATATTCCTATATTCCTATATTCCTATATTCCTATATTCCTATATTCCTATATTCCTATATTCCTATATTCCTATATTCCTATATTCCTATATTCCTATATTCCTATATTCCTATATTCCTATATTCCTATATTCCTATATTCCTATATTCCTATATTCCTATATTCCTATATTCCTATATTCCTATATTCCTATATTCCTATATTCCTATATTCCTATATTCCTATATTCCTATATTCCTATATTCCTATATTCCTATATTCCTATATTCCTATATTCCTATATTCCTATATTCCCTATATTCCTATATTCCTATATATTCCTATATTCCTATATTCCTATATTCCTATATTCCTATATTCCTATATTCCTATATTCCTATATTCCTATATTCCTATATTCCTATATTCCTATATTCCTATATTCCTATATTCCTATATTCCTATATTCCTATATTCCTATATTCCTATATTCCTAATATTCCTATATTCCTATATTCCTATATTCCTATATTCCTATATTCCTATATTCCTATATTCCTATATTCCTATATTCCTATATTCCTATATTCCTATATTCTCCTATATTCCTATATTCCTATATTCCTATATTCCTATATTCCTATATTCCTATCTATTCCTATATTCCTATATTCCTATATTCCTATATTCCTATATTCCTATATTCCTATATTCCTATATTCCTATATTCCTATATTCCTATATTCCTATATTCCTATATTCCTATATTCCTATATTCCTATATTCCTATATTCCTATATTCCTATATTCCTATATTCCTATATTCCTATATTCCTATATTCCTATATTCCTATATTCCTATATTCCTATATTCCTATATTCCTATATTCCTATATTCCTATATTCCTATATTCCTATATTCCTATATTCCTATATTCCTATATTCCTATATTCCTATATTCCTATATTCCTATATTCCTATATTCCTATATTCCTATATTCCTATATTCCTATATTCCTATATTCCTATATTCCTATATTCCTATATTCCTATATTCCTATATTCCTATATTCCTATATTCCTATATTCCTATATTCCTATATTCCTATATTCCTATATTCCTATATTCCTATATTCCTATATTCCTATATTCCTATATTCCTATATTCCTATATTCCTATATTCCTATATTCCTATATTCCTATATTCCTATATTCCTATATTCCTATATTCCTATATTCCTATATTCCTATATTCCTATATTCCTATATTCCTATATTCCTATATTCCTATATTCCTATATTCCTATATTCCTATATTCCTATATTCCTATATTCCTATATTCCTATATTCCTATATTCCTATATTCCTATATTCCTATATTCCTATATTCCTATATTCCTATATTCCTATATTCCTATATTCCTATATTCCTATATTCCTATATTCCTATATTCCTATATTCCTATATTCCTATATTCCTATATTCCTATATTCCTATATTCCTATATTCCTATATTCCTATATTCCTATATTCCTATAATTCCTATATTCCTATATTCCTATATTCCTATATTCCCTATATTCCTATATTCCTATATTCCTATATTCCTATATTCCTATATTCCTATATTCCTATATATTCCTATATTCCTATATTCCTATATTCCTATATTCCTATATTCCTATATTCCTATATTCCTTATATCTATTCCTATATTCCTATATTCCTATATTCCTATTATTCCTATATTCCTATATTCCTATATTCCTATATTCCTATATTCCTATATTCCTATATTCCTATATTCCTATATTCCTATATTCCTATATTCCTATATTCCTATATTCCTATATTCCTATATTCCTATATTCCTATATTCCTATATTCCTATATTCCTATATTCCTATATTCCTATATTCCTATATTCCTATATTCCTATATTCCTATATTCCTATATTCCTATATTCCTATATTCCTATATTCCTATATTCCTATATTCCTATATTCCTATATTCCTATATTCCTATATTCCTATATTCCTATATTCCTATATTCCTATATTCCTATATTCCTATATTCCTATATTCCTATATTCCTATATTCCTATATTCCTATATTCCTATATTCCTATATTCCTATATTCCTATATTCCTATCATTCCTATATTCCTATATTCCTATATTCTTCCTATATTCCTATATTCCTATATTCCTATATTCCTATATTCCTATATTCCTATATTCCTATATTCCTATATTCCTATATTCCTATATTCCTATATTCCTATATTCCTATATTCCTATATTCCTATATTCCTATATTCCTATATTCCTATATTCCTATATTCCTATATTCCTATATTCCTATATTCCTATATTCCTATATTCCTATATTCCTATATTCCTATATTCCTATATTCCTATATTCCTATATTCCTATATTCCTATATTCCTATATTCCTATTATATTCCTATATTCCTATATTCCTATATTCCTATATTCCTATATTCCTATATTCCTATATTCCTATATTCCTATATTCCTATATTCCTATATTCCTATATTCCTATATTCCTATATTCCTATATTCCTATATTCCTATATTCCTATATTCCTATATTCCTATATTCATATCCATATTCCTATATTCCATATTCCTATATTCCTATATTCCTATATTCCTATATTCCTATATTCCTATATTCCTATATTCCTATATTCCTATATTCCTATATTCCTATATTCCTATATTCCTATATCCTATATTCCTATATTCCTATATTCCTATATTCCTATATTCCTATATTCCTATATTCCTATATTCCTATATTCCTATATTCCTATATTCCTATATTCCTATATTCCTATATTCCTATATTCCTATATTCCTATATTCCTATATTCCTATTATTCCTATATTCCTATATTCCTATATTCCTATATTCCTATATTCCTATATTCCTATATTCCTATATTCCTATATTCCTATATTCCTATATTCCTATATTCCTATATTCCTATATTCCTATATTCCTATATTCCTATATTCCTATATTCCTATATTCCTATATTCCTATATTCCTATATTCCTATATTCCTATATTCCTATATTCCTATATTCCTATATTCCTATATTCCTATATTCCTATATTCCTATATTCCTATATTCCTATATTCCTATATTCCTATATTCCTATATTCCTATATTCCTATATTCCTATATTCCTATATTCCTATATTCCTATATTCCTATATTCCTATATTCCTATATTCCTATATTCCTATATTCCTATATTCCTATATTCCTATATTCCTATATTCCTATATTCCTATATTCCTATATTCCTATATTCCTATATTCCTATATTCCTATATTCCTATATTCCTATATTCCTATATTCCTATATTCCTATATTCCTATATTCCTATATTCCTATATTCCTATATTCCTATATTCCTATATTCCTATATTCCTATATTCCTATATTCCTATATTCCTATATTCCTATATTCCTATATTCCTATATTCCTATATTCCTATATTCCTATATTCCTATATTCCTATATTCCTATATTCCTATATTCCTATATTCCTATATTCCTATATTCCTATATTCCTATATTCCTATATTCCTATATTCCTATATTCCTATATTCCTATATTCCTATATTCCTATATTCCTATATTCCTATATTCCTATATTCCTATATTCCTATATTCCTATATTCCTATATTCCTATATTCCTATATTCCTATATTCCTATATTCCTATATTCCTATATTCCTATATTCCTATATTCCTATATTCCTATATTCCTATATTCCTATATTCCTATATTCCTATATTCCTATATTCCTATATTCCTATATTCCTATATTCCTATATTCCTATATTCCTATATTCCTATATTCCTATATTCCTATATTCCTATATTCCTATATTCCTATATTCCTATATTCCTATATTCCTATATTCCTATATTCCTATATTCCTATATTCCTATATTCCTATATTCCTATATTCCTATATTCCTATATTCCTATATTCCTATATTCCTATATTCCTATATTCCTATATTCCTATATTCCCATACCCTCAGTAGACGACGATAGCCAATGAATTACTTTGCTAAATAATAAGTTGTGTTCTTATTGTAATTGGACCCTAATAATACGGATACGTCACAGTTCTTTGTCATTTTAGTTATCAGGTTGTCAGTTTTAGTTATGTTATTATTTAGTCTCTGATAACGTTTATTTGGTTTGAAGTCGCATATTTTTTATAGTGTAATGTAAATGTATAGAATACATTTTCTAAAATAAACGACTTGAAAAAATCCTTAAATACTTTTATTTCAAATTTTAAGGATCATATCATATTCAATCAAGAGATGTTACGTCATCAACGTTAAAATAATGACGTAATCATGAGAAACCTCATTTGAAAGTTCTTCTAATCGTCTATAATTGTCCAAAAATAAGAATTTTTTGTATACGAATTACAAAAAAAAAAACAAAATTGTATTGCAGATACGTCACTGGCGCGGTGTGTTAAACATTTAACATATATCAAAAAGTATGTTTTGTGCAAACTGTATGATGTCATTTGTGAACTGTATACAGTATGGTTCAAATGAAAGGAATAAATTTATTATAATGGAAGTAGCTGGTTTTTCGAAAAAATGCTCGGACAGGTCAATTTTGTTTACTTAAAGCGCAATTTTTTAAATAAAATTCAATTTTCCCCCACTTCCCATTTTTGGGCAGTGACGTCATTGACAATTTTTTTAAATAGCAACCCAAATTTTTTTTTCTTGATTTTGATAGATCTTGCAATTTCCTACTCGGAAACATAATATTTGAAATATCTGACATAACAATTTTTTTTGAAAAAAAGTCATTTCAAGATCAGATACATAAATTTTATGTTATTTTGAAACACAATAAATTAATAACAGATAATTATTTGTAATTAAATGCTTAATCTAACAATATAATAATAAAAAAAATAATAATAAAAAGAATTTGTGAAATTGTCATTAAATTCGTTTTATTATTATTATTTTTTTTTTAAATTAAGCACTTAATTACAAATAATTATCTTTTATTAATTTATTGTGTTTCAAAATAACATAAAATTTATGTATCTGATCTTGAAATGACTTTTTTTTCAAAAAAAATTGTTATGTCAGATATTTCAAATATTATGTTTCCAAGTAGGAAATTGCAAGATCTATCAAAATCAAGAAAAAAAAATTGGGGTTTCTATTTAAAAAAATTGTCAATGACGTCACTGCCCAAAAATGGGAAGTGGGGGAAAATTGAATTCTATTTAAAAATCTGCGCTTTGAGTAAACAAAATTGACCTGTCCGAGCATTTTTTCGAAAAACCAACTACTTCCATTATAATGAATTTATTCCTTTCATTTGCACCATACTAGATGTAAAAATAATAATAGTAAATGATAAAGTTGGGCCTTATATTTTTATTTAGACTTCATGTATTTTTACCAATGAGACTAGAATGACAAAATCGTAATTCTAACAAAAATATTCCTCAAATTTGAGCTACTATATTAATCCATAAGAAAATAAACATAATGGAATTTTGAAAATCCTGTGCATATTGAAAATTGTTTCTTTAAATTCACCTTTAGTTCAGAAGATCTATTGAACATTGGTTATTAAAATTATTAAATAATTTTTATAAACTATTATAAATGAACACTCCCGAAACAGTACGTCATTGTTTATTGTACCCTACTACTTTCCCTGTTTGGTTTATGATGCGGACACAACACTGTATTGTTTAGAAAGTGTAAAGGCAAGTCTATCTTAGATAATTTTATGTCTGGAGTCCTTCTACTTTTGTCGCTCCAAATCTAACTTCACATTTCAGAGTTACAATTCATTGAAGCATGGAATAAAGTTAGATATAAATTAAAAGTAGTAAACGAAGTCGGTATAATTTCATAGTTAATAGCAATGGCGCATCCAAAGTTTAAGTCTTAAGTCTGGGGGGTAGTGGTAATAAAGTTTCAGCCTGTCAGGGGGATAGTGGTAATATTTAAGACTTTATTTTTTGATAATACATTTTAGTACCTATACAAAGTTAGGTTTAAACATTCTTGGGGAGTGCGGGGGTAATTACCCTAATTACCCCCATTACTCCCAGTATATGCATCCCTGGTTAATACATAAATAATCCAAATTACCTTTTTATTCAAACAAGCCTGATGATTCACAATATCCAAAGCCCTTTCGAACGTTTTCTTCGGAATGCCTCTCCAATGGGGATTTATCCCCATTTCTTGTAGACTAACATCGATTAGGTCATTCAGTTGGTTTCGCATTGTTCGTATGTTTTTTTCGCTGATTTTAACGTCGCCTTTTATAGAAGAAACGTTCTTCAATATAGAACTTTTAGGTTTACTCGAGTTTACCTCGAATTTTATAGGTTTTTTCGGTGAGACTTTACTGTCGGTGGCGCTGCTTTTAAGATGTACCGGAGAGTCTACAATTTTTTCAATAAATTTACTATTTTTTTATACATAAAAACCCAAAACTTTAAATTTTTTTGATAACATTTTTCCAAAAATAGTTACAGAGCAGAAGATGAAAATCCAATTTTTGGCATGTTTACACCAACCTTTATTTATAACGTTCTTGTATAAAAATCTTACCCCCACCATTTCATAGACGTAGGTGAAGGCATCCCAAAAAGGTAAGTTAAAACTTTTTAAATAAAACAGTTGAAACCTACGGTTTTTTTAACATAAATAGCAAAATTTTATTTTTTTTATGGACTTGGAAAATGTTTAGACATCGTCATAATTTAAAAACAATTACAGATAATATAAAAATATAATTTAAATCAGATGTATTGTAAATATGCTAAAAATTACATTTTAATTTCTTTTGCAACTATTTTTAAATGCCAGCCTGTCAGGCCCCTACATCTGAATTATTACGTTAGCTCGTAATCGATGGTATGTAGTGAATTAAAGATTTCACTGATTGCCGGAATAGCAAAGGGTCTATTGACTCGGGGAACCTTGGATGTTGAGAAATTAGGCCGGTGAAATAAGAATGCCACTGGACTGGTCTCTCTTACGAAAGATCAGGAATCCTAAAACGGTCCAAAATTTGGGACTAGTAAAGACTAATTTTCTCGGACTATAACAAACGATTTCTTTGCTAACATTTAACAAGCGACGGTCGATTAGAACAACAAAATAAATCTTAAAAGAAAAGTTAATAGTGAAAGAATCTTTGCTTATATTTTTCACAGTTATCACAGACAGTGAAAATAACTAACGACGGTATGACGGATTACTCAATAAAAATTCGGAAATTCTGCACTGGAAAAAAGAAAGAATTTGTGGGGATCCCGGCTTTATACTTTACGGTCGGACTAGTTGTTTCCGAGTGGTTCGGAGTAGGAGTAGCCAATATTTACAAATCGGAGAACTGAAAAAAATGTCCTTTTGACATCTTCGAAAATAATCAGATAATTTACATGAATTTGAAAGTTCAAAGTTGGATTCGAATTTCAGTAAATAAATTATATATTTTGAACTAAGGAGGCTTTCGAAATAAAAATAAGGGGGTTCTTATTGAGAACTATAACTTGAACTAGACATTTTTATAACTAAACTAAAGGAAAATTTAGTGACTTCGTCACAATACGTAGAAAAAAATCGTCGATTCCAACTGTTTTATTGAAAAAATTGTAATTTAATTTAGGAATGGAAGGGCCGGAATTTTGTATCTGAACTGCATATTTAGTGAAAAAATACATTATCTCGACCCGAACTGCCCTAGCTCCAAAATTTTAACACCATCCCTAATTAGGTACTGCGTTATAAAAGGTCTACATATGTGCCTCATCTACTTCTTGACAGTAAAACATCCTATAACCGTCCAAAAAATACGAGGAAGGAGGTGACTTTTGAGTAACACTGTATAGTGACAAGTTCATTTTGTATTATATTTTTTTTGTCCATGTAAATAAACTTACTTTTCTTCTTCACCAAAGTTATACCGCCATTCACAGCGTCATCTACACGCTTAGGTTTATCTTCGTCAAAATCCTCAGACGAATCCGTATCTTCTTCAATGGATAAATCATCCTCCGTGGTAGATTCGTACATTTTACTAACAGCTGACTTAACCACGGCAGGTTTAAACTCAGAGTTGGATTCTAACTTGACCTGGACTTTACCGATCTCGGGTTTAGATGTAGAATCGCTTTTCATAGCCAGTATTTTGTCTAATTCTTGTTTAACAATTTCGGCGTTACTTCCTTTTTCCGGAGCGTGCGTGGTTTGTTTGGTCAGCTTCGTTCTGGGTTTGATTTTAGGTTTATTTTGCGGAGAACTGTCTGAAGTGGTGTGTCGAACGGTCGCGTCTGTAGATTGAATGTGGTCGCCGATTTTCGTTTGGTTCAGTTCGACTTCCGATAATTTTTCCCAGAAGGCTTGTATTTGGTCTTCTATATGACCTAGGCCTATCGAAATCTGAAATATGTTCAAATCTGTTCAAAGTATTCAAATGTGTCCAAATATGTTTAAATATGTTCAAATATGTTCAAATATGTTCAAATATGTTCAAATATGTTCAAATATGTTCAAATATGTTCAAATATGTTCAAATATGTTCAAATATGTTCAAATATGTTCAAATATGTTCAAATATCTTCAAATATCTTCAAATATGTTCAAATATGTTCAAATATGTTCAAATATGTTCAAATATGTTCAAATATGTTCAAATATGTTCAAATATGTTCAAATATGTTCAAATATGTTCAAATATGTTCAAATATGTTCAAATATGTTCAAATATATTCAAATATGTTCAAATATGTTCAAATATGTTCAAATATGTTCAAATATGTTCAAATATGTTCAAATATGTTCAAATATGTTCAAATATGTTCAAATATGTTCAAATATGTTCAAATATATTCAAATATGTTCAAATATGTTCAAAAATGTTCAAATATGTTCAAATATGTTCAAATATGTTCAAATATGTTCAAATATGTTCAAATATGTTCAAATATATTCAAATATGTTCAAATATGTTCAAAAATGTTCAAATATGTTCAAATATGTTTATGTTTAAATATGTTCAAACAGATTCAAATATGCTTAAATAGGTTCGCTCGTTACCAAGTACAGCGAGCCAATAATACACAAACACTTTAATATTCTAATACTTACTTTACTTTCTATATTTTCTTCAAAATTGCTTAATTTTCTTTCAATTTTTTCATCAATATTCTCCTCCCTATCATCAGCATCTTTAATTTTCTTTGTTGCATCGAAAACGTTTTCATGCTGAACGGTATAAATTTGCAAATTTTTTGTTTTTTCCTTTTTACTATGATACTCATCGACGCTAGTTTGTGTGGTATTTTCAATTTTTGGTATTTCAATCGGCTTACTTTCATCTATTTTAACGATTTCGTGTTCTCTGTTCTTGTACTGCAACACAATTTCGAAAAGTTTGTCGTACTTTTCGGTAAAAAAGTTTTTCTCCGATTGCAAACTGCCCATTTTCTCTTCGACTTGTTTTCGAAATTTTTCGAAGCTGTCTTGGATTTCGCTCACAAGTTTTGTCGTTTTATCGTCCGAGTCTTTATCGATTTCTTTAAAATGGCTGTATGGTGATAAAAATATTTTATTTATTTATTTTTTCAGTTATAATTTACAATAACGTATGTCTCAATCATTTTGGCACAAAATTTAGGGTTATAGAAATAAGTTGTAATGATAAACTATCAAAATGGTTTATTTTCTTGACATTAGTTAGACAAGTCGTTTTTTATGTCAGTTGCATTAACATGTCTTATAAGTTATAAATAAGAAATAGTAGTTTATGTTAAGAGTCCAAAAATATCCTTTTCGTCCGTGTTTCATACATTATTTTTTGTTCGAATGTGCTCAGAGATATTTAAAAAAAATATACAGAAAATTAAATATGAAATTATATTATTTACAAATTTTCTTATAACTGAGATGGCTGTTATCGATGAGTTCTTCATAACAATTGAACTATTCCTGTCATGTCAGTGTACTTATGTCAAATCGATTGTATTATAGTTTATTTAGTTTTCTCTTATTCAATTAAAAATACCTCTATTCAAATTTGATGTGCATGTGGAATATGAAATATTTTACAATAGCAAAAAAAATTCGGGGCATTCGGGTCATACTTCAAAGCCGTCGAAATAATTTGGGATTTTTATTTCTATATAGATTCTATAGTAGATATAAATACTTTCAAAAATCGCCACGAGATAGCGCAACCTCTGTCAATGTTGAGAAGTGATAAGTGTGTTGCGACTGGGCTAAGCGATCCAAGATGGCGACCATCGTTTACGTGGACGAGTATAAACAAGAGAAAAATCATGCGCAATGGCAAAACCAAAAGGGCATTAACGTATATCTTCGCTATTATTGGTCCTATTCAAACAAAATAAACGGGGGAGTGGGGTATGTAGATTAACGTTAAAGAGAAAAAATCACGTGCAGTATCAATGCCAAAAGGACTTAAGTCTATATCTTTATTGTTATTGGGATGATTCGACTGACAAAAACGGAGAAGTGGATGACATTACATGTGGATTAACGCCAAAAAGAAAAATAATGTTCGTCTCCTTCATAGTGCTGTTTTTCCCGTTTGAATCGGACCAATAATATCGAAGATATACGTTAATGCCCTTTTGATTTTGCCATTTGCCTATGATTTTTTTCTTTAACCTTAATCTATACCATGTCTCATTTATAGTGGCGTTTTCCCGTTTGAATCGGACCAATACCAACGGATATAAACGTTAATGCCCTTTTGGCTTTGCTACTGCTCATTATTTATCTCTTCTCTATTTTAGCGCTAGATCGATTGCAACAAAGTATTTCCATCGTCTACAGGGTAAGAATTAAGGATACATTTATAATTTAGCCATCTGCAAATGTGTACCAAAAAAGTTTCACTGGCTTTCTACTATATAGAATCGATGACAGTTGTTTAAATTAACGATGACAGATAATCGTCGTGGCCAACGCAATAATTGTAAGGCGAAGATAAGAAAGGGAACAATTAAGTAGAAAATTACTAGATTCAATATTCCCGACCCAGATAGCACAGGACGTCCATTACATGTCCATTTATGGTCTGTACGTCCAGGAAAAATTCTGGATGTTTTAAATATGTCCAGTTTAATAAATCCTCGGGAAGTTAATAGATATCCGTAGAACGTCAATTATACATGCTTTATATATATTATATATTATAAAATATATAACTTTAGTGTTAATAAAATGTAATATCCTAGTCTCTACTTCACATTTAAATTATTGATAGGTATTTTAAAGATTTGAGATTATATATCTATTTGCTCCAAGTAAAGGTTTGTTCCAACAACGATCTTGGAACAATACATAAACCAGTCCAAAACTTATTGTTGACAATCTGTCGATGACTAGTAATTGACAACTTGTCAGGTACTGGTCGGGGATTGGGATTCAACTCGGAACTCAATTATGTTGGAACACATTTTTTAAATTCAACCGACGCATTATTACAATAATAAACCACAAAATAAAATAAATGATCATGAACAAAAACTATGAAGACTAAGCTCGATTAACAAATACAAATCAGAACTGTCAGAGACAATAGATACAAATAATATAATTACAATCACGAAATGTTCAGTTTATTGCGGCTTAGCGCATGTCTTGACAATTCGTTCCTATTCAGACCCAGGAACTGATTTGACAGTACACAAATCGGTTTGTGATTAATTTTGGTTGTGTTGGAACACTATGTTTTTGTACAGTTTCGAGTCTACGGTTTGTTGGAACACAAATTCTAGACTGCGCAGAATCCCGACAGTACACAAACTGATTTGGTTTATGTTGGAACAAACCTTTTGTATTCGTTAAATATGTATTATTATTTGTATTTATTTTTATCTAATAATATTTATTTAAGTTATTAATAAACATATTTTAAGAATGTTCTATTTTATTATTTATTGATATATCTTATATTTATTTAATAATAATATGCAGAACCAACTCTCCACATCAGACCCCTTATAACAAATTAATTCCTCAAATTTGGTATATTCGACCTAAATTATTTTGTAAAATAAAAGTTTCGAACTTACTAGTTCCATACTTTATTTTATAAAATAATTTAAAATTTAATTTAAAACTACTACCTACTCCTAAAAATTACAATTTGAATTTACCGCCATCTGTCAATTGTCATTTTAGTTCCAGCTCCAAATACAAGGTGGCGCTAATTTGGTTTAAAAGTTTAACATTGGCGTGGGGTCTCTAGAAGATACGTGCTTTGTGGTAGAGTGCGTCTACCGAATTTCTCTATGATTGTTTTATTTATTTTAGACCTTCCAGACTACATAAAATCATAAGTGTTACATATGGTTGAACTCGTATTGAATAGGAAATTCCAATAATGACTGAATATACAGGGTGATGAATTTGAAAAACCAAAGTGACTAATAATATAAGAGAAGCGGTAAATCTGGCAACATTGCAAATATCAAATCTGAAATCTCCACTGAACTATAACTGTTACTGGAACGCTAGTAAACAATACATCCGCGAGAAAATTTTGTGCCATTCATGCAGCGTCGAATGGAGTATATTTATGTTGAAAGTACTGTACTGTAAGGTACGTGCGCTTGCGTATGACCTGCATGGTAGCCATGACGCTGGTCGGCGTGAACAGAGATAACTTTAGCCCAAAGCACCTGAAGTGTTTAGTGAAAATTGTTGTGATTTTTTTGGTTTAGTTGTTTCTGCTGCACCATAGAGTATTGATTTTAAGTTTTATTTAATAAAAATCAGAGGACACTAAGTGCCTTTTAAAATGGTGCCGAAATGTATGGTTTTGTTTTGTAAAAATAATAAACCGCCATTATACCAGTAAGTTCAGTTCTATTTATCGTATTACTTAATTATCTATGTAAAAACCCAGACAATAGAAGAAATCCCAGAGATATCCACAGAATATATTTTGTGGATATACAATGTATGCAGTGGATCTAATATGGATATCCAAATGTCCGTCTATATCCCAGGATATAGAAGATATTCGAATATTCAGCAAAATATTTTATGAGTATCTTTAGTAGAGGTTCATAAGTAACCAATGATTATTGAATAACGTCGAAAGAAAATAGCAGAGATAAAAAATATTTTCAGCACTCAAAATATTTTCCACACTCTGCATTTGATTTTGCCCACTAAGAAGAGTCATCCTTATTAGGATACTTCAGCAATAAATGGAAATTCTCGACTCCAATCTTTAATGGAGTCTGATTGGGATACCAATTTCGATCGAACTCAATTACGGCGGGTTGAGCATGAATAGATATATAATGGTATCGTCATCTATACTTAGTAAGCAAAATCAAAAATTACATCTAGTGGATATCCACCATGGTTTGCGTTCGCGCCTAGACTTTGATATATTTAGTGAATGTCCATGGGATATTGAATACACCTTAAAAAAATTAATTTTAAATATCTGAACGGTACTATTAGCCACAATGGCGAGCACAATGGCGTAATTTTTTAATAATTTGCTATATAATTACTATTATTTATGGACATTTGCATGTCTATAAATTACATATCATGGATATAAAATAGATATACACCATGGACTCGATATTCAGTGGATATTGGGATGTCCAGTAGATATCCAAAGGATTTGGTGTGCTGTCTGGGAATATATTTTGCAAATCGGGCAATATTTTTGCATAACTAGTGGAGCTGTACGTTCGTGATTGATTAGCCGGCCTGCTAGTTTAAGCATTTTTATTAATTTTCGAACTTTTAAACTTTGTTTCCACATCTTTTTATAAATAATAATTCTGAAAGCTTACAGAGCAATTTCAGAAGCAGCTACCATAATGTCTTTTTTCCATTATAATTAGTGTTTGTTACCTATCAATAAATTTTGTGTATAAATGGTTTTGTTTTAAAAGCGGTGGTACACGCATTTTTTCGGGGAATTAGGGATTTTTTATTTTCTGATTTCCAAATCTCCTTAAATTTGTGTTAATATCTATTTTAATTTTTAAAACAAAATCAGACTGACTAAACACACCTTTAGAGTGGATTTATAAACTACGTTCAGTTCGCGCTCAGCTAACCACAAATTCCACAAAATAAAAATATATTTTGTTGTTATTTTTGTTTTAATTATATTTGTAGACTGTGTTATAAAATAATTATGAATCCGTTATAATTTCTTGTCCAAAACATACTTACCGTGTCATTCTGCTCTGTTTGTGGTGAACTCGAACTGAGCGTGAACTGAACGCGAACTGAAGGTAGTTTATAAATCCACTTCTGCGCAACATTTCGACGCACTTTTAGTACTAAATTTAGTAGAAAATAGAACAAGTTCTAATTAATTAATTAATTTTTTTAGTACTAAATTTAGCAACGTGAATTTTTTTAGTACTTAAAAAATGCATTAATTTAGTTCTAAATTTAGTACTTAATTTAGTATCGTGACATACAGCCTTAATATATAATAAAAAAAAATTAATTGCTTGGCAAACTAATATATTTTTTAAAACATTCTAGGGTTAAATACACCAAACCATTCTAAAAATGCATGATGTTTTATTTAAAAAACACATTTTTATTTGCCAGTCAAAAACGCAACACCCTGTATATCCAAAAATTATTAATAATTTTTAAAATGTGTTATTTTTCAAATCCATATAACTTTTATTAAATACTTGTCTGTTTGTCTATAAAACAAATTGAAATATTGATCAATTATATATGCACTAATGGGACACCCAGTATATATTTTCAAATTTTTTTTATTGATAACACTGAAGCTCGCCAATAACTAAACAAAAATTTAAAAAAGAATCGGTTCACAAACAAGAGAAAATAGTACTGAACTATTTTGTCTTTGCCTATTTATAGATTATCATTATCTATCAATCACCTTATGGTACAATCACGATGGTGGAAGACTGTTTTATTACAAATTAATAATTAGTATTCAAGCAAAATTTGACAAAACTCAGGGCATCTTTTAAATTTAACTTATATGCTCTCACTGTTATGTATATGAAACGAGTTTATTAAATCCCTCGAAAAAAATTCAGATTTGAAACGAGTCATCTATTTTCAAAAACTTTATTTTAGATGTATATCAAAATATATAAATTAATTTAATAAATAAAGCCGGCTCTGACCATAACGTAATGGTGCTGGTACTCGACTATGAAAGCTATTTACTGCTCATGAGTATTAACCTTAAGTGACGTAATGCGTGAAATCAAAAGGGCACACTTTTAGTTATTAGGAATAGCGTTCCATTGTAACAGTATTATAGAGTTCAGTGGAAATCTCCGCATCCCAAAATAGGTGTACCCCAAATTTTGTACAATTAAGATTAACAATTTACGAGATAATTGGCCGTTTCCAGACTTTTGGGCCACTCCGTATAATGAGATAATATAAATAATTATTAAAGATGGCATAGTTCCAATATCCAATTGAATGAAGGCCAAATAGACAAAAAACGAAGAAGGTAATTGCAAGAAAAGGACATTGTTGACAAGTGATATTTTATTATTTTTTATTATTATTTATTTAGATTCAAGCACTGAAATATTCTCAGGTTTTATTAAAAAAAAAGAAAAAAACATGGTGTTCAATGTTCATGATTCGATGGTGTGTTCATATTATACGAGTACAAGTTCTATCATTCCGCCATTTCACTGTGATTCGACTCTGTGAGTTTGTGGCATTGTGGTTTATTAATATTAATATTAATTTTTTGCAGTTTGTACTATTTTTATCTCAGAAAAAGGTTGAAGTTTTTCAGTGAATACTACAAAGCTAAAAGGTTAGTGAATTCATAATGTCTAGCAGGGTAAACTTAAACAAACAGATTGGATTTTAATATTGGTCTGCCTTTCATTTTGAATAAGCGATTAAATTATTTTCAGGTTCAGCTGAGAAGGCAAATATGGCCAAATCAAGAAGAAAAAAACTTAACTGCTGTCAATCCAGGCATGGTTGAAAAGGGCAAAGTAGATGAGAGACAGGATAAATTTGACGAAAAAGTTTTAATAATTTTATTATACATAGGTTATTTGCTTCCAAATAATTTTTTTTTAAATTATTCATTATTTTCACTAATTTCCTTAAACATCCTGTTATTCCCCATTTGAGCTTTTGAAAATGTCCAAGGAATGTTCTTAAATGGACGTTCTTAAGACATCCTGATTATTTACAATAGACGTTCCAAAGACGTCCATAAGACGTCCACGTCCGTGAAATGGACGTTGTAAGGATGTCCTGAATGTCCAAGCATGACGTTTTTGGACGTCCATGAGACGAATTTGTGCTATCTGGGGAGCTTTTTTGCGCTAGAGTAATGCGAAATTGTCGAATAACGGGAAAGATCCATTGAATATGCGTACAGCCTTTCGCTGTATTGTACAACATTTTCAAAGTCTGTTCAGCATTTAATCTTGTACATCAAACGTACAGCAAAATGATGTTATTGTCCAGCAAACATAAAACATTTAAAAAAATGTAAAATTATATATTCTAATAATTTCCCATTAATTTTATTCTTATCAAAATACAAAATATTTTCATCGATAACTAAGCACATCTCTACATTTCGGTCTAGAGTTTCTAGCTGGCGCCGTCTAGCTTCTTAGTCTAGGCAAAACAGCATTAAAAAGGCCAACAGTTCGGAATTTTTTAGGCTAAAACGGATCGGAATGCGGTTTTTTTGCCGAGCAGCCTTTCACTTTTCTCCCGACGATCGAAACTCTTTTGTGTAAGTATACACAGAAACTTTTTCCTAAGTCCAGGCCCCGTCCACCAACGTCCAGATTCGGGCACACCAGGTATCCGGAAGGTATTCGACGATGCTACATATGAATTCTGCGACCCAAAAAACTCCCGAGCGTCTAGTTTATCTCCTTCCCTGCGTGAATTTCGGGAGAGTCCCAGATGACGTTCATCGGCGTTCCTGAGCTCCAGGTCGGCTGTGGGCCAATTTGAACATCATAATCGTGATCAGCGACCTCGAAAACTTCCGAGAACTCGATTTGGGCCAGCTCTGACTCTTATTTACAAAGTTTTTTATTCTCCCAAAAGCCGTCTCAAAAAATACATTTTTAAATGTATTTTTGGCTGCAGCACTGCAATTTCCGGTTTGTATGAGTTAAAAGTAAGGGCATTTTTTCCTAAAAATTTTTGGAAGCGAATACAAAAAATCACATTCCGATCCGCCTTAGTCTAAAAAATTCCGAACTTTTTTGTTCAATGCTTCGACTATCTAGCTTGCGCCGTCTAGTTTCTAGCTGCATGTTTGTATTATCTCTTTTTATTAGATGATTTTTTTCCTAAGATAAAAGGAAAATTTGATGTTTTTGTTGTGTTTTGTGTTGTTTTCTTGTTGTTTACGTTTTTAGACGTTTATAATAATTTTTGGCTATTTTGTAATTTTACAAAAAAAAAGAATTTAACATTTTTAAGATTGAAACTTTTGTCATTGTTGATGGCTGCCGAAAAATAACGAAGAAGATGCCACCTGGACAAGGATTCTTATGTGCGTACTCAACACGTAACCAATTGAATAGAGAGAGATATTACATACGAATCGTATTATCTGTAACGAAGATAGTCGTCTCAACACGTGCCGAATTGAAGGATGAGAATCCCAATGCTGATGAGTGGAGATATCAGACACAGACAGATTCGGGATGAGACCTAATTAAAATTATTATATAAAATAATTATTTTTGTTGTAATTATTCATTTGTTCATTTTAAAGACCTTTCCTTGTTGTTTTAAATAAACACCTATACCTTTTATACGTATCAATTTCTTTTTCGGTCGGTTTTTCCTGTATAAACTTTTCGGTGTTGTTCAATCTTTCCTTCAACTCTTTTATCTCTGAATGAAGCTTCTCCGCTTCGGAATTTCCTCCAATTTTATTTTGAGCGCCGTTGTGTCTTTTCTTCAAATGGGAATTCAAATAATCTTCCGAGGAGAATAATTTCGAACATATGTCGCATTTGAACGACACCACTGGAGTATTTCTCGAAGACGAAGACGATATGTGCGTTTCCAATTCTTCTGTGTAAGCTTTCATTTCTTTTATTTCCTTAAATATTCAGAAAATAGTACATTATATACCTAGGGTGAGAAGTGAGCTATTATTTACCGAGGTAAATAATAGCTTTCTCAGCCGAGGTATATATAGAATTTTTTTTACTACTAACATTAATATATTAGCAATTTTAATTTTGACATAAGTAATTTCCTAACAATTTGTTAAATATTTCGAAATATCAAGCAGAGTGGAGCGTGTTTCTAATCACACTGGCTTTATTTATGTAAACATTTGGCATGTGTCAAATTTTGATATGATTCCCATTGCATATTTGATATTTTAGTGACATGGATTTATTGGTATTAATTAATAATTTTTGAAGCCTATTACCGTTGTTGAATTTCCTAGTTAATATATATTTTTACTATTAACACTGATATATATTATCATATTTGATTTGATTAGATTTTAATAAACCCAGCTTTAGTTATTTCCTACTTATTTTTCAAATATTTCAAAATATCAAGTAGTCTGGGAGTTTAGTTGTCAAATTAACAAAATGAAACTAATGAAATTTAGTTTCATTATTTACCTAGGTATTTTTTTATTATCATTATTTACCTAGGGTGAGAAATATTACTTCTCATTAGAGGAATGGAGTAAATAATGGTGATTTCTCATGTTAGTAGTAAAAAAAAACAGTTTTTTAATCATAGTATGTCTATAATACATTAAATTCCAATAAAGTTATCAAATATATTGAGTGTGGCTCAAGTAATCGAAAAGTTTTTGGAATATAAATTAAAGACAAACATTAGGGTGTGTCATTTTTAAACAACTTTGTTTTTCAACTAAAAAACAGGAAGGTGAAAAAAGAAGCCTCTTAAAAATTTGAGCTTTTAATATTAACATTAAGTGGTGTCTGTTCCTAACTTTGCATTTTCCATTTAAATAACATGGAAAAAAATTTAGTTTTTCTTATTATTGTAGCTTGACATTTTAGCATTGTAAAAATGAACCGAAAAATTATTTTGGTAGGAAATTGAACGCTCTACAAAAAAGTTCTCATTTATTTTTTCATAGAGTGTCCATTCTGAAGATATTCAAACTTAAAGTTGCAAATGTATGAAATTATGACTTTTATTTTATTAAACTGATGACTTTTTATGTCTTAAAAATTATTTTCAAGAAAAAATAATTATATTCGTATAGATAGAAAATAACGACGCACAAAAGACAAAAACTCACCAGAAATATTTTTAAACAAAAATATGAGTGACTCAAAACAATCATTGAAACTTTTTGATAAATTTGATTTGCCGTACGATTTCTGGATGAAGATGTACTAATGTGGCCAGATAATGAAAGTTATCAACAGAATTTGAAGTTTTTCGAAAACTTGAAAGTTGTCGATGACGTTGCAAGAGTAGCAGAATATAATAGACGCCTAACTAAAAATGAGGAACAATTTTAATATTTATTACAAATGGTTAAAGAGCACCGACGGCGACGGGACTCGAATTCCTTCACCGGAAATAGCAAAACCGGAAGACATAAAATGCCCTTAAAGACATTTTTTTTATTGTTCTCGACGTCTGCAATAATATATTGATGATTGAAAATTAGTTTTTTTTACGTACCTCTTTCAACTTAACAACATCTTTTTTGAGCAAAACAACGGTCCTATCTAAATATTTCTTACAAAATAATAAGTATTCTACTGATAGTTGGCTTAATCGGAAGAGTTTGACAAAATTAACATCTAAAACTTCTGCTTGGTCATTTTCCAAAACGTATTGGACAACTGTAGAAATATTTCGATCTACAGAAGCGACGTCCCTCTCTTTTATTATGCGCTCGACGTCTATTAAACCTAAAAATATTAAATTATTAATATGCGAAATTTATTAAAACTTATCTACCTACTTACATATCTTATTCTTATCCAAGTTGGGATATTTATATTTATCGAAACAAAACCCCGTGTCCCAAGCTAAACGGGCATAATCGTAATGCCAATGGTAATTTTCCACCCACATTTTTTTTACTTATTTTGCCCTTACAGCTATCACTAATATGTTTTTCATGTTAAAAAAAATAATAATTACAAAATCTTATTTGTTTTGATTGTTACCGCAATCAATGTCAACACTGACAAAAGGCATTTAAAAATCGAATCACAGAACACAGAACATAATTTTATTGTTATGCAACCATTTTAACATATAAGCGTAAACAGTTTTGTCTAACTAATAATCTAAAACTACTGACTTCAAAAAATGTCTTTTTCATTTCTAAATTTTAGAATGAAAGCGATATCAGTAAAAATGGTAATTAAGTAGTGTATTTAAAATATTAAATTAATTCAAATTATTTTATTTCAGCTACCCAACAGCAGATGGTGACTGAATTTAAAGTATTGATTTCGATAAATAGGTCACGCGTAGGACGATTTGGCCTTGTATAAAATGTAGTTCCAGCAGTGATTCATACGGGTCGCACTTCGTTGATACGCATGCGCCTCTCGAAACCATTCATTCATCTTTTTGTTATTGTTCAAGTGGGCCGATCTTAGTATTTGCCGAAAATATTCCAAATTGATAAACAAATTAATTTTTGTATTGTGTACTTTTAACTAATAATCGTTCCCATAATGGCGTTGAAGAATCAAGTTGGTCTAAGTAAGTATATTTTGCGAAAATTGCAATAAGGGCTTGATTTTGACAGGTAGAAGGAGGCACTAGATCAATCGTTGGAATATTGTATTAGTCATTTATTAATTTTTTTTTATTAAGTATTAATTTATATTTTTGGTTTAATTTTTTATTTTATTATTTTTAATAATAATTGTTCATAGCTAAATTTAATCATGCTTTTACAGTGTGTTAATTTCTTATAATAAAACAGTCAATAATTATATATATGTGAATACAGGGTGTTATAGGAGCGAATTTATGTATTTTCAGCGGTTTTTACTTAATAAATGTTAAAAAATGTAAATAAAATTGATAATTGGTTCTTGTAGGTATACCATATAATTTTTGCTATTTTCAGAAATTATGAATGAGGTGATAAAACACAAACCAACTAAAAAAAATGGACCTGCTGTTACACAGCCTCATGGTGCTGTTGAATGGCGTATCTTGGTTGTAGATCAGCTTGCAATGCGAATGGTTTCTGCTTGTTGTAAAATGCATGATATATCAGCTGAGGGTATTACATGTAAGGCCTTATTTCAATAGATGTAGCATTACTAACAATAAAATGAATACAAATCGTTTTAGTGGTGGAAGATATTTTGAAAAAAAGGGAACCATTGACTACTATGGAAGCTGTTTATTTGATTACACCTAGTGAAAAATCTGTTCATGCCCTTATGAATGATTTTGAATCTCCCAGGCCTATGTACAGAGGCGCGCATGTCTTTTTCACAGAGGGTAAGTACTTTAATACACGTCTGCATTTTTTTGGTTACATATTAGACAATTAATTATTGTCTTAAAGAAAAAAACATTGAAACATTTTATTGTTTTTTTTTATTTACATAAGATTTTCATTTGGGTGAAGGGAAAAAAGGAAATATAAACTATATTAACAACTAGCATATTTTGGGACTTATTTTTTTTACTTATGTTGAGTTTTATATAATAGATACTATATATACTACATTTACACTTTCTTTAAATCAGGCTTGACCATGAGTCGAATATCTGCATTGTACAGTTAGTAATACTGTCACTGACTGAATTATTTTTCATCAGTTTTGTACTTCAATTATAATATAAATATTAAGTGATGTTCGCATTTGCCATATGCAAAATGTGTTATCTCATGCAAAGGATGCTGTAAACGTAGACACAACATTTAAATAACCCTAAATTTATTTATTTTTATTTGATATATATACCTATTTTATTTTTAGTTTTTTATTTTAATTTTTGTTTTCTACAGCATGTCCAGATGAACTATTTAACAAATTAAGCCACCACCCTGCAGCTAAATATATAAAATCTTTAAAAGAAATCAACATAGCTTTCATACCAGCAGAGTCACAGGTACTTGAAATTGCTTAAAAACACATTTAAAGGTATGCTTATTGGTGTTTTATCTATAGTTTCCATTTTCTCTTAACACAATTTTATTCCTAACCTGAGTTTCTTACTAATACTTTGTGGTTTGTCAGCATTTACACCAATAATTTGTAAGGTTCTAAAATGGTGCATATATATGATAGAAATGATTCCGACTTTTCCAAGGCATTTTACAAAAATACTCTTAATGAAATTGGAGGCTATTGGTTTTCATAATAATTTGAAAGCTTGGTTACTTAGTTTTTTAATAGAAAGGGTTCAAATTGTAAATATCAATAATTTTATATCAAAACAAATAGCAGTTAATTCTGGTATCTCAAAAGGTGCATATTGTTCCCCTTTGCTCTTTAGTTTATTTATTAATGATATAATACCGACAATTAAATGCTCCTCTTGCCTTATGTTAACTGATGATACTGTGGGGCAAATAATGATATGCTAATTCATTAATTTGTGTCGAATTCTCATGGGATAACTTTTTATCTTTTTTGTTTATTGGGCTTGTACATGTAATACTAGAGACGCTGCGAACAGAAATATTGCTTTTATTTATTAGACATCTTAGATAAGATTTAATTATCTAATAGATTTTTCGTAAAAATGAAGGAATTTGATTTTAATAAGAATGCAACTGGACTATGCTTATTTAAAAAGAACCAAGCACCAAATTGGAGTTTTGAGATATTGGAGGTTAAAGATGGTAATGCTTTATTAAAATAATGAGAGTAGAGAACTCCAGCTTTGTGAACTAGTGTCAGATAGTTAATATGTTATTATAGGCAAAATTTTATAAGTTTATTATGCTACCTAGAAACATGAGTTTGAAGATATTTTTAGCGGATGGTTCCTTTTATTAAAAAAAAAAAAAAAAATAGCACTAGAATAGAGCTAGTAATTGGATCTTTTTTACAAGGTAAATTAAACCTTCTCTGTCGATTGGTGCCTTTAACTCATTTTTGCCAATTTGTTGCTTGGTTCCTTTTATATAAGCCTAGTCCAACTTTTCTTTAATGGAGACAGAAAGAGATATCTGCAAGAAGCTTGTGATTTGTTCAAAGAAACATTTCCTGACAGGATTTTCCAAATTTCTAAATCTACAGTATTCAGAAATTTGATTAAGTTCAATGAAACAGGGAGTGTGAAAAATAAGAGAACATCTACTGATGAAGAAAATGCATTTAATGTAGTTCTAAGTGTGCAGGAATAACCAAAAACTTCAGTTCCAAAGCTTGCGTTAGACAATATAAGCGAGAGATATGTAATCGGGATTCTAAAAAACAATAAATTTAATCCCCATAAAGTGCAATTACACCAAGAATTGAATGAAGATGATCCATGTAGGCGAATGTAATTCTGTCAGGAAATGATGGATGCCATTAATGGAAATAATATGCTGATGAACAACGTTGTTTTTTCCTACAAATAAACATGTCTCAGTGGATTTGTAAATAAACATAATTGCCGGTATTGGTCTGATCATAATACTCACTGAATAGAAGAAGGTTGCACCCAATATCCACAACAGTTAAATGTTTGGATTTGTGTAGTTAGAGGAAGAATTATTGGATGATTCTTCATGAGAGGAACTCTGAACAGTGATCGTTATTTGCAACTTCTTCAAGAGCATTTAGTTTCAGAGTTAGTTTGTTTATTTCCAAATCATAGAAATCACTTAGACTTTCCTATGAAATTTGGTGCCAGCAAGATGGTGCTTTCGATGCTAGAATGAGGCAGTACCTGAACGCAATATTTCTGCAGAGATGGGTGGGTCGAAGACGGCACGGTCACCGAATTTATCCCCACTGGATTTTTTCTTTGGTGTCATTTCAAATCGGTAGTTTATAAGGACATGCCACATTCGCTGGAAGAATTTTAAAACAAAATAAGAATTGTTGTTTAAGAAATAACGCCTGAAGTTTATCAAAATGCCTTATGGATATTGTCAGGCAGTTGAAGGCTTTCACTTCAAACACTTACTTTTAAAGATTTTTGTACTTCGAATGATGTAAAGTAATTATTATTTTTAATTAAATAAATGTTTGCTTTCTACTTTATTATGAACTCGGATACTATTGATGGATTCAGAAAAAAATATATATCCAAAAAAAATATAAATATAGGGTGATTCATTTAAAAATTTCTTTTGATGTCTTTATATCTTGATAAGTATGACAGATGAAACTCCCCAAGTGTCATTAAATAATGCATAAAATATACAAAAAAATTAATTGGATTAATTTTCAATAGAATCCATAATTGAGCCACAAATCGGTTGTCCCGCCAATTTTTCTCAACCCTGTATGAGTAGGTTAGGTTAAAACTTAATTTTTCTGTACTAAATTTTAGGAATTAAATAATTATTAATTACCACCAAATTTCATGAATTTATCTGTAGCTCATATCTACTATATGATATAAACATATTAAAAATTAATATTCTTTTAAATACGATTAAAATATACAATGTCATGTATCTGTTGGTTTTGACATTGAAATAAGTACCTTAATGCAACATTTCCAAATTTGAATGACCCCCAATGTTTTACATGAGGTTTTTATGTAACAGTCTGTCCGGAAGAGCTGTTCAATGAGCTGTGCAAATCTTGCGCGGCCAGAAAAATTAAAACTCTCAAGGAAATCAACATTGCCTTTTTGCCGTACGAATCCCAGGTGTGTGTATGTCTTTTTAAATGTGCTCTCTTCGTTCCCGGGAAGATGCCTACAATCAGAAATGAAATAAGCATATTTAGTTCGAGAAAAACCGTATGTATTTTAGGCTTTGTAGTATTTTCAATACTCGGGTGTAATGTTTAATCAGCTTTATGATTTATAGTTGGCAAATATTAGAAGGGACTATGGGGATCTGGCTCACTTATAACAATTTTGGACTCTAGATGGCGATAAGGTTTGCAGCAGACTCACGGTGGTTATTATAGGTGTTTCAACTTAGAGAATGTTATTACATTTATTTTAATCCTAGCGATAATGAGAGCCAATATAATGGAGAAAATTTGCATTGCAACGAACGTTAAAAGCATGCAATCGCTAATATATGTTATAACGGAAAGCATAGTTCTTTAAATCTACTATGTGTGCCAAATTTTACGTTTTCATCGTCAGTCTTAACTGTCAACGCCATCTAGCCACGGAAATTGGTATTGGGGATCCCGTAGCTCTGCAGCACGGTGCTGCAGTCTTGCTACTCCAAACATCCGTTTGTCTAAGAAATAGCAAAAAATACTGTATGTAAGGGAAAAATTAAATTGATAATTTTCATTGATGAATCTTAAATTTTTACAGAAAGAAGTAATAAATAATTTTTTATAGCCATTCCGCTGAGTATTCAAAATTCTACATGTCTATTAAAAAAAAGATTAGATATCCGGTATAAAACTTATCTCAAACAAAAAAATATTAAGATACTTATTTGAAAATGACATTTTTGAAATGATAAATATTGTATTTGTAGGCATCTTCATTATATTTTGCTTTTTTTGTAGTGTTTTCTTTCTTCAACTACTTTGCACATTTTTAATCACAAACTGTAGTACTTAATCAGTTTTTATGACTATCATATTTTACTTCCATTTTATGTTAAATATTTTGTAATTTAATTATTGTAACATAAAGTTTATAGCTGTTATTGTAATACATATATTAAGTAACAATGTGTTTCAGGGTTTCAATACTAGTTTGTTTAACAGATTTACTTGTAGAAGTAGAAATTGTGAATTATACAATTATTTACAAAAGTTTTAATTTTTTTCTATACTACATTACTTGTTTTGGACCCTGAAATCACTTGTATTTCTTTTGTTAGATATTCAAAAGTTAACACTAACGAATTTTTAGGTATTTTCACTCGATTCACCAGATACTTTTCAATGCAGTTACGATCCATCATTTGCTGCTGCAAGAAACGCGAATATGGAAAGAATGGCGGAACAAATCGCCACGCTTTGCGCGACTTTAGGGGAATACCCACATGTCAGATATAGGACGTAAGAAATTATTTTCAATTTAAACATTTTTTGAGTACATTTTTACCCAGATCTAAAATCCAAAAAATTTTTTTTTATTTAAAATGACAAATTTTCCCACAATTTTTCTTAGCCCATTAGAAAAAAGTGTTGTCAAAAAAGCAGTGGTGCCAAATCAAAAAAAAAAAAAAAACTATGTCGAGCTAAGAAAAACTCTGATCATTTTTAAAAGTGCTAAATTTTCACAGTTCTTTAAAAAATGGATATCATAAAAGATTTTTTCTCTGAAAACATTACTTTTTGGGTGTACCTGAAAAAAATGTCATGGTATTTTGGAACTATTTTAAGTTAACAATGGCCTATTAAAAAATAGATAATTTTGAATATTTATTTCTTAAAATCTGTACCGGGCTATCAATTTTTCATGAGTAAATTCATTAATTTCTTTACGATAAATAAGGTTTTACTTTTGTAAATAAATTTAGGAAATATCGCTTATGTTGAGAACAACGCTCTAAACAAAATGGGTTATTTGACCGCCAACATTTTAATATTTTATCTGAACAATATAATGGTATATAGGTACCACTATTCAGTTTTTTTACCATTATATCGTCCAATGCATGACTGAAAAAGTACTATTAAAGCAATATTTCGGTGACATTATACTTCATTCTTCAGTCAATTTATGGATGGCTAATAAAATAAGCTGTAACATAACTTTGTCAGCCTTATATTAAGCGCATTTCTAGTTGCTGATGAGTGGTGTGATTTAGGACTACAATGGGGCTTCTTCAGCTTTATGTTCAGCATATACCAACTAGTTGAATAGAGGTATACAATTTGACAAGTAGTAGTTGTTCAGCTGATTTCTAATTGCTGTTGAATGCTGTACTTTAGGATTGCAACAGGGCTTCTTCAGCTTTATGTTCAGCCTATACCAACTTGTTAAATAAAGGTATACAATTTGATTTAAGTAGTGCTCTTTCAGTCTATTGTGCAGCTAACGTTAATTGGCGCTGCATTAAGGGTGTCCAGATGAATAGAAGAACAACCTATTGATCAGCCAGTTGGTTTGTTCAGACTTTGTCACTACCATACATCAGCTAAATTTCTGAACAAATCATACTAACCAGCTTTAGATGTTACTGGGTTTAGTGTGCATCTTACATTTCGGTCGATCTTGATTTTAAAAGTTTCTTTTTTGGCGCCCAACGTGGGGAATGTAATGACGAGGTTTTATCCGTGCCGCTATGATTCGACCAGACCCTGTTTTATTGACAACTGATAAAAACGGACGTAATTTACGAACGGAAAATCGATTTTCACCCCTTCCGCAACATCCTGGAACATTCCTTCATACAAAATAAGTTGTTTATTTTGACCTGAATGGAATTACACATGCCGCGACAACTCGATATTTTGGTCTCGGGTTCTCCTACTGTTGCTAATACGCAGATAGTACATCTATGCTGTTGATTTTAGCGATTGGGAACGAAATGTGGAACTGGCGCAACTTATTCAACAAAAATTGGATGCCTACAAAGCAGATGAGCCCACCATGGGAGAAGGACCCGAAAAAGCCAGATCTCAGTTGTTGATTTTAGATCGTGGTTTTGACTGCGTTTCTCCATTATTGCACGAGCTCACTTTCCAAGCTATGGCCTACGACTTGCTTCCCATTGAAAATGACGTCTACAAGTAAGTCAGTCGTATTATTTGGAATTACATATCGATGCCTTAGTTCACAAACCTTCTAAAAACATTCCTAATTTAAAACTGAATTGAATTTGAAGAAATAGTGGATAATTTTATTTTTAATGTTCAGGTTAATCAGTACATCCTAAATTTTTGTTGATATTTTTAAGTTATTTATTAAAGTTAGAAGGTGTTCATAATTAAGTAAGGCATCGATATTGTTTCTTCTGGAATAATAAAAAAAAACAAATTTCTAGAATCTTTACTATTCTTCCGTAGATACGAAGCATCCGCGGGCGTTCAAAAAGAAGTCCTCCTGGACGAAAACGACGAACTCTGGGTAGAACTCCGCCACCAGCATATCGCCGTCGTTTCCCAAAGCGTTACCAAAAACTTGAAGAAGTTTACAGATTCGAAACGCATGACGCAAAGCGACAAACAATCGATGAAGGATTTGTCGACCATGATCAAGAAAATGCCCCAATATCAGAAGGAGCTGTCCAAATACGCGACCCACCTCCATTTGGCCGAAGACTGCATGAAGGCTTACCAGGGGTACATCGACAAGTTGTGCAAAGTTGAACAGGTTGGTAAAAATTTTAATTTTATTTGTCCAACTTTTGACAGCTACATTAACCAAATTTTCAATAGCAAGAAGCATTATCCATGACAATATATTTTTCAAAAAAATAAAATACTCTTCATGTTGTCTAGACAGTCGCCCAATTACCTTCATGAACGTTATACCTTACTCTAGTACATTGTGCAACATGTACTGTACATATATATCATTAATTTCAGGATTTGGCCATGGGCACCGACGCAGAAGGTGAAAAAATCAAAGACCACATGCGCAATATCGTCCCCATTCTTCTAGATCCAAAAATAACTAATGAATATGACAAAATGCGCATCATTGCCTTGTACGCTATGACCAAGAACGGAATTACTGAAGAAAATTTATCGAAACTTGCGACTCACGCACAGATAAAGGACAAACAAACCATTGCCAACCTCCAACTGTTGGGCGTCAACGTCATTAACGATGTAAGTAAACAAAAACTGTTAATTGACATAATTGACAAATTCTAAAACGTAATTTTTGTGGTAGGGAGGGCCGAGAAAGAAGCAGTACAATGTGCCGCGTAAAGAAAGGATCACAGAACAGACTTATCAAATGTCAAGATGGACGCCTGTTATTAAAGACATTATGGAAGATTGTATCGACGATAAGTTGGATCAAAAGCACTACCCATACTTGAGCGGCCGGGCGCAGACTACCGGATATCACGCAGCGCCCTCTAGGTAATTTTTTTTTAATGTAAAATGTGTGTTATTAATAAAATATTTTTAGCGCGCGCTATGGACAGTGGCACAAAGATAGAGGCCAGCAAGCCGTTAAGAACGTTCCGCGCATTTTGGTCTTTGTGGTAGGAGGCATCAGTTTCTCGGAAATACGATGCGCCTATGAAGTGACAAACGCTCAGAAAAATTGGGAAGTGATCATCGGTTCGTCGCACATATTGACCCCAGAAGGTTTCCTAAGCGATCTGGCGACGTTAGCCGGCTAGAATCAGATGAAAAAGGTTACTTTCAATGTACCCGAATAAGAAAAATGCGTTCTGCGAGTCTTTTTACGGAATTACCCTTATTTTTGATATATATCAGCTGTCGTTAATTAACGGTGTAATTGACATATGGCATTTTATGTCAAATGATAAAATTATTTTACATATACTTGCTTTTTCTGTGATTAATTTATTAAAATAGCTGGATGTTTCTAAAAAATATAAAATATCTGTAAAAAGACTTAACTGACAAGAGTATAAAAATATTATTTTTGCACCATATATATTGTGACTTTTGTGCAGTTAGTAGAGGGTTTTTGTACTTTCTAGACGTTGATAATTACCAAAATTATGAATGAAGGTTTAAACAATCCGTTTTTTCAATTTAAAAGAAACTGGTGGTTTTTTACATTTTACTGACATCAAATTCTCTTTTTGATAGTCCAATATCATTGGACCAGCACTATTACTACTTAGGTCCAAATGCATGGTAGGCATTTGACATTAGAATAAAATTTAGATGACAAATGTCACTGAATTGACAAATTTAACTTCAGCATTTGAATCTAATGGAATTTATAAACTTAGATCGAAATGTATGTCAGCAATAATGTAGAATTTCTTATGGTGAACCATAAAATTGTAATTGGATAAAAAGAGAGGTTATCTTTTCGTATTTTGTACTAAATTCCCTGTTCCAGTCTGGGACCCTCTACTGCTTGGTTATTTTAAATAAACTTCTACTTAAATAGGTATTTTGTGACTAGTCACCTCCAGTTGCACAAACATTACTAATCATTTAAAAGCTTAAAGAAATAAAAAAAAAAAACTGAAACGTACTATCTCGAACTTGCTTTTTGATGCTAAATTGTGTAACTGGTTTATTAACTAGATATATATTAGGATTTATTAAACATAAACTGAAAAAAAATAAAACGCGTTGTACATCTATTAATATACGTTTTAGGGTAGATAAAATTGTATTTTTAAATTCAAATGTGTCTAAGAGTATAAATAAAGCAAAATATCTTCATCAAAGTATATTATCCGTTGAGTAGCGACATAAAGCGTCGGTGCCTTTGATCTTGGGTAGTGCAAATTTTCTTTCTCTCTCTTTTGACGTTATTGACGGAACGACACATTAAAACACTGCTCGAATTATGAACTGGTCTTGAATGTGATGTTTACACTGCTCGACGTAATTTGAAGTAAAACTCTTTTGTAGTTTACATTTATAATAAAAGGTTTGGTCATTAGGCAGTTTTATATTTATGAGTATTTAACTTATGTAATAAATATAAAAATATATATCACTATTGATAAATTTCAATATTTTACCTACGTCCGGATGAGCTAGAGACTTGAAAGTTGGTAGGTGCACAGGGTTTTGATTTTTGATAACAAAGAAATTATTACTTATGGACCTTCTTATTTATTAATCAAGTTGTCTCAAACTTTAAATTTCGCGTTGTTTAAACATGTCGCTGAATACAATTTTTAACTAAAACGAATTCCTATATCAGCTGCCGGACTAAAGTGAAAGGGGTTGTTTACATCTTTAGAAGACGTCTCGCCTCTCTATTTCGCGTCGGCGCACTAGAATTCGGTTCCCCAGCTGTCGCTACTCAACGGTTAATATACTTTGTCTTCATCTTCAATCACAGCTTTTTGTAAAAAATATTTAGTATTTTTATTTAACTATAGGGCTGTCAAAAATTGCTTTTTTTTCTATAAAAGATACATTCCTGGGTTTTGTCCGAATTATTTTGATGATTGTATCAAGTAGTACGCATAACATTGACTGAAAACAAACTTCTAGTATTGCACTTAAGTTAAAATCAAGAAAAGTAGGAATTTTCTAGGATGGGATTTTTAAAATATCTGTCATCTATCAGTGGTATTGACATTTGACATATTTGTTGATTAAATGATAAACGTCGTCTCCCAAGACAAACTGTGTTCGTTGTATGTATGTATTTTAATTCCGAAAAAGCTGTTCTATTGCAATATTTAAAAAAAAAATAATATATAGCTACTTTATATTCGAGCATTTGTATAAAAAATGATTAGCACGTAATATTGGCTCTAATGTAAGGTTAGCTTATGTGGCTGTTATAAAAATAGAAAATTATAATATATATCATAACTGTATGTTAATTCTTCTAGTTATATTTCTTTGAAGTATCTATCATGTCAATTGAAAATGTTAATAAATATTAGTGAATACTATTATGGTTGTTTTTATTTTTATTAATTTCATTAATTTCTGGAGTCTCGAGACATAGTTACAAAAAAGTCATCGCTCATTTTATTAACAAAAATCAAGGAAATCGCCTCAACACAAATTTTTTATTATTTATTTTTAATAGGTTGACTGCCATATGTAATTTAAAAAAATTCCTCTCAAGTAACAATTGCATTTTAAAAGCAAATATTTTTCAAAAGTTATTAATATTTTTGCAGGATAAGCTTGTATGCCACAGCGGTCGTATACTGTAATGAATGACGATCTAATAACAAACTGTTGTAAAATAAATAAATTTAGTCGAGTACTGAGTGGTTGTCTACGACCGCAGTGAAAAAGTATAAAAAAAAATACTAAGTGAACGTATTCGACTGCCGTGCACAGAACACTGCCGTGGCAGTCAACTTGTTAAAATACATTTTCTGGGTGAATGGAACGAAATGTGTAACTATACTCTAGAAGTCGACCAGTTACGAGATTCAAAACGGTGTAATGTCTATGCAATGTTGCCAAATATCAACATAAATTATATTATTTCATAATGCCGCTGCCTCACTGATTGTGATTGATGGGAGGTTTTAAAGGTTTGGGGATCATGATGATTATTAGCTGGCAGAGTTGGGTAATTACATGTACTGTAAAAATAATTACACTTACTAAGTACTTTTTCAAAAAAGGAATTAATTACAAGTACATGTTGTAAAAATAGGAATTATATTGATTTGCATAAAATTACATAAAAAAAAGGAATTAGCAATTACTTTTCTAATTACGTTGCCGATAAAATAACAAACTATGACAGTATTGAGGAACCATGAACCAACCGGACCGGTACAAATAAAATTTTTAAATAGGTAATTCAAAGTGTCAAACTAAGAGCCGTTTGCAACGACTTTCTTAAGGATTCCTTAAAGTTAAAGATATCTTTTAAGGCGGGTTGTACAAATCTTACTAAAAGTTAAACTCAGTTTGAGGTGACACATGGCAAATTTTGTATGGCATAGGTACAGTCTAAATACCACTTGGGGCTTATTTTCCCAAACTTTAGACAGCATCGGAAATTGACATGTATCACCTAAAACTGAGCTTAATTTTAAGTAAGCTTTAACTCAAGGGAAAAGACAAAATCAAGTAGTATAAAAAATGGAACAGGTAAGTTAATAATAAAATGTGAACATTTAAAAGTTTATTGATTTGGAACAAAGATACAAAAGTTAGTGTACCTACACATAGGTACTTTTATATTTCACATAATCATACCATACAAATCGGGCATCATTAGCCTGGGGCCGTTTAATCAAAAAGATAAAATAGTTAACACTAAACATTTTATTTACATTCGGTGCGGTAATCAACTCTCGTCAAAAATTATGTGATACCTTTTTATTTTTGTCGTTTAAGCTTGGGATACTTCATAAAAGTTTAAAACTAATTTTTCAAATATCATATCCTTAAAACATATTTTTTAACAAGAGTAGACCACAGAAAGTAAGAAAAATATTTGGTGTAAAATTATTCATATATTTTACTTTTCATCAAGCAGGTAAAAAGTAATGACGCCTGATTTGCAAGATCTAGTTATTCATAAAATGTTTGCATTGTTACTTTTCATAACAAGTTTTTCAAAATTTCTGTCGAACAGCGCATGCTTTTTGGGAGCGTTGATAATTGTAGCAAAGGAGAATAATATCTCAATGGGCCCAGAAGAAGGAAGTGCCGTATTATATTTAAAAAACACAAGGGGTAGCTATATCTAGCATCGTAATATTTTTTCTTAAATCATCTAGATATTGTAACACTTCTAACTGTACCCCATTTTTGTGTACAACCGAGGTGTTACGCCTTCATTGAAATCAAAAAAGTCTATTTATAATAGCTTTGGTTGTAGTACTATTAAAATTAGCTTTCAAATGAAGTGTCACACTTTACCATATGTAATAATTTTTTATCCCGCTAAAGGGCTCTAAACGCAATGGACAGTCATATTGCTGAATTCCCCATAACCTTTCCGACGATGTGTCATACTTGGTACTTTCCCTATTTAAATTGTATTGGTTATAGATTGTTATTATTTTGGGTTGAACAATTTCACTGTTTCACGGCACAATTAACGCTTTCCTCAAATGCATTCAAACAAATGATATGAATGCGAATCCGAGCTCTAGTGACCGGTTCGAATAGGCATTTTTCTTGTTTTTATATCACGTGCATCTCATAAACACGCATTTAAAAATAATTTTTTCAACAAGCGTGCGAGAAGATGATCTTCTCGCACGCAGAGAAATATAAATTGAAAAAAAAAGCAAGGTATACTTACCGCCGAGTCCCGGGTTTGACCCTAAGATCTTTTGCGATATTAGCCTTAAACCCTATAACCACTACACAAATTCAGCACATAACATCGGTTTAATATATGTATACTTAAACTGTATGTTGTACACCTATAATGTCATTATACAGGTTAATTCTCTATTTTAGAAATAAATGCGCTTGTAGAAAAAATGTTGATCGTAACACGTGCTAGAAGCACTTTTACGCACTCACCTTCTTACCCGCACTCCGCTGCGCGTCGTGCGGGTAACGCAGTTTCGTGCGTAAAAGTGCATCTTCTAGACTTGTTGCGATAACTACTATTAATTAAAAAATGCAATTGTACTCATATAAATGTAATTGTAATTGGAAAAAAGTAATTATTGTAATTGGAAAAGTAATTGTACTCATGACAAGTAATTGTATTTAGACAATTTAAATAATATAAATTAATATAATTACAACGTACAATTTCTCCACAAATTTTGCTGCAATTACAATTCCATATTACTTTGAGAAAAAAGTAATTAAATACAATTACAAATTACGTTAAAAATGTAATTGTAATTATTAATTACTTTTTAACTAGGAATTATCCAGCTCTGTTAGCTGGGCAAGAAGTTCCAAATAAGTTACTTTTGGAAACGTATGTGTTTTTTAAATATGTAACTGTCCGAATAATAAGTAACCGGGTTAAATGCGGGTGTGAAGATAATTTATGACAATTCGGAATAGTAGAACTTATTGAAATACGCACAAAGATAAGTTTTTGTAAAGTCGAGAGAAAATCCTAAATAAAAAGGAGCTTCTGTCACAAAAAATCGTTATAAATACTTAATTTTGGTGCGGTCTGGCAACGCTATCCAGTATACATAACTTCGTTTAGACTCGGATGTTTTCGTATGTTGTATCGGTCGATCTGCAGAGTTCCATGCGCACAATGTTTTTCATTTTGACGTTTATGTTTACCTTTCGATTTCTTGACAGTTCCATTTAAAAAGAAGGTCGAGGAATCTGCAGCGAATGCAGTCTGCAGTATTTTCTAAACTATGGTGCGGTATAGAGAAGTGGAACGATGATTCAAATAAAAAAATACTAAATTAATTACTATAATCATTCTCCTATTAATGTCAAGGCAAGAAAACTATATCCTAAAATCCTAATAGGATGGTTCGACGAAACGAAATTTTCGGTATATCAATAGTAGCTATAGTTTGCTTACTTCTTATCGGGTTTAGCCAAAAAGACCTGTCGAATTATCACAGATCTCATAGATATCAACAAATAGAATTAGAAGAAAGTCTTAGATATAATAATAATTACTCAGTTCCTATACCATCCATTGAAGATGTGATTTCACTACAGAAAACCTTAATTTATAGAGAATTAAATAGGTATCAATTCCCGGCTGGAGATAGTTTGGAGGATTATACTATGTCTACAGGGGGTAAACCCGTTCGGACCGTTGTGATAACTACTTGGAGGTCTGGATCAACTTTTTTAGGTAAAGTCTATTTTTATATTAAACCTTTAATTTGTAATGAAAATGTTGAAAGAAAATTCCTGATTTATTGTGCATTAGAGCTCTACTCAAATTTTCAATTTCCAGGTGATATACTTAATGCAGTGCCCGGAACATTTTACCACTATGAGCCTCTCCTAGAATATGACATAGTTCGAATCAGGGGCCCCCCTAACGCAGAACCTGCCGTTAACACGTTAAAAAGCCTCTTGAAATGCAACTATTCAGATCTCCAGAGTTACTTACAGTATGGGATGTCCCATGTTTACTTGTTCACCCATAATACTAGGTTGTGGGATCAATGCGAACAATACCCTGGATACTGTTGGAATTCAAATTTTTTGAACCAGTTTTGTAAGTTATTTCCATTTCAGAGCATGAAGAGTGTTAGGTTGAATTTGGAAGTGGCTGAGGATCTTTTGGAAGATAAAAGGTAAGTCTAAATATAAAGTTTTACTTTGAATCCAAAATGTATAAATATAGTGGAAAAAACAGAATAGACATAATTTATTTCCTTGTTACAATTAATTACAGTTGTATGAAAAAGGTCAAATAAAAACTCATTAAAATTGATAAAATATATGTATACTGGTCTATATCATAAAATGAGTAAGACAATAATTTTTTTTTAATGTTTTCTTAAAAATATTTACAGTACGTGTTCCCTGTTTTTAATATGGCCTGGGGACTTAAACTTATTATTGTATAATCTGACAATCTGAGACCCATACAGTTTGGTGAAAAATAGTTTTGACACCTACTAAATGATACCAAATAATTTTCTTTTGTCTGATATTATTATCATGAGTTGAGCTATTTTAATTAAATTTAACTTTGTTTTTAAAGACATAACTCTTGAATTAAGAGGCAAGTTAATGTTAAAATGTTTCTGTTCAAAATTTATTCTACAGTATGTTCTATTCTACATTATGTTCTTTCTATTCTAGTTGAAAGACCAATCAACATGATTAATGCACGGCTTTTTATGATTTTGGTAATATTTTTTCTCAAGAAGTATGATTATGATTATATTCAAAGAGAAAAAAAATATCTCTTTTATTTATGCATGAGAATGTTAAAAGAGATAATACAGATATCAAACAGCATTAGATGTTACAATAATTAATAAAAAAAAAACAATAAAAGTAGGTAGATATACTTAAAGCTCAAATTAAAAAGAAAATAATACATGTATGTTTACTTAAAAATGTAAGTTTCTAATTTGGTGCTTAACAGACATTAAAGATCAAATATTTCTATTTTAGCATTGTGTTTATTCGCAACTTTAAGTATTTTTGTAACAGTTTCATTTTGTGCATAGTGGGTAGAGTGGTACGAAATATAAAATAATTTAGATATATGGGTCCTTCTGTTTGCGTTAAAATTCACTAGCCTCAACAAATCAGGACAGCAAATTGTACCACTCAGTAACTCAAGAACATTCAAATTAAACAACGAAACGCCAAAATTTTTACTACCTGCAGGAAAACCAATCTTATATGCAGTATATTTTAAAAATGTATGTTGAACACTTTCAATTATATCGATGTCCTTTTGACGATTGGGATTCCATAAGATGCAATATTCAACATTAGATCTCACTAATAATTTTATTATATTTTATAAGATACATGTTCATGGCTTCTATATTAGTAATATGTGGAGAGTGGATTGCTCCCCTCGACACAGGCCTGTTGTGCATCTTCCTAAATTGATAGCTCTCTTTTAGCTCTGCAGCCAGCTTATAGATTTGATGTAGTTCATGTCACCAAAACGTGTTTCTCTTATATCGAATGATGTTAGCCAACACTCGCTGAACATAAATCTTCTAATACATGAGAGGGAGAGGGTCAGGCAATCGTAGAGAATATGCTCTATGGTCTCATCTTGTTCGCACACCCAGCTGAATGTGGATTCTTACAGCTCTGTGCTATGGAGAGGCTTTCGTACTTGGCAATGAGCAGTCAGAATTCCTAAGATCTGGTGCAGATTCTGTCTACTCATCATTAAATATTTGTTTGCTGTGGTGTTTATAGGGTAACTTAAAAACTCCAAATTCTGCAGCTTATTGTTTCATCCTACCTTTCCTTGAATGTTCTTTGATTAGCTTTGTCACTACCGATGTTGTCAGTTTAATGAAAGGACCAGGTCTAACATTTATTTGGACCTAATGAATCAACAAGACAGTTGCCTTTCTATGTGGCATGATCTTTGATGCATATGACTATGTGACCACATTGTTGATGGATACTTCGACCAGAGCTTCATGACATTCTAGTACTATCTATCCCTGAGTAAATTCGTGGTCTGTCCAGGGTAAGTAGTGCTTATCTGCTATCTGTATAGATGAGCATGTTCCTTTTAGTGATATTGTTTTATGGCTTAATTTCATTTCATAAAATATTGCTCAACATCTATGTAAATCTGAAAGAAGAAGAAAAGCTAGAAAAAGTGGGAAATTTCATATAATATTTGCAATTTATGCTTTTCTCATATCTTCCCTGTCCAGGCTCAAAAAAAAGATTGTATCCTACAAAACTCAAAAAACATAAAATTTCTATTTAAAAGTTTGCCATCGTATACCCTTTCAAATCATAAAATATCGCAAGCTACAATATTATCAACATTTGTCACTTTGTATCCACCATAATCTTCTTAAAATATCGTAGCTTATGTCATTTACGTTTTATTCTATAGCCAAAGTTCTAAAACCTTTTAAACATGTAGCAAAAAAAACAGTTTTTGTGTTTCCTGTAAAATTGCTTAAATGGCGCATACGATACTTTGCCTGGACAGACCGATATATACCGATGAGGTATTTGAAAATTTAAGAACCAGTACATCATATTGCTCTCTAGGAATTTCGATAGTCAATTTCGTCATGGTCTAGCGGTAAGGCCATTTGTTTACAGAACAAAGATGTCTGGGTTCGAATCCCGTGGCGACAGGCTTTTTTTAAATCTCCCAGTATTTGTTTTCACCTTTGGGGTTTAATAATTCGTAAGGGGATTTTTGAGATTTGTTTCCGAATTTTCAAAATTTCTACGACTTATTTCAGATAATTCTGAACTTTCGGATTTTGATTTGCGATCTTTGATATATTAAATTCACAATTTGCATACTCAGGTTTACGTCGCTTAACGTACATTGAAAACTTAATGCACATAGACGAAGATATGGGCTTAGTATGCATGAATGCATTTCTCATATATACTGATGCTGTATAGAGGTATTTGAAGATTGAGAACGAGCTTGAAACGGCGTTCGGCCGGAACTAGTACATCAAATTGCTGCCTATGAATCTCGACAATCAATGTCGTCATGGTCTAGCGGTACAGAATAAGGATGTTCGAATCCCGCCGACGCCATGCTTTTTTTCAAATCTCCAAGTATTTGTTTTCATCTTTGGGGTTTAGGGATGGTCTTAAAAATTCGTAGGGGAATTTTTGTGATTTGTTTCCGAATTTTCAAAATTTATGTTAATATTTCAAAAAGAAGGAAATTTAGACAAATTCAGTTTACAGTAATAAATAGGAAGACAAGTTTTTACAATATGAAAATTTTTCGCTTTTTAATCATATTTCTATGATTGATCTCTTTCTCTTAGTGAAACAGCTAAGATTTATGTTTTCAGAAAACCTGTTTCTCGATTTTGGTGTAAAAATGTCATATTCTCGCACGGAAAATCGTTGAAGAATCATTCTTAAACGATTTTTTGTGACATTTCAGTTGACATGCTCTACTTTGCTAGTAAATACATTCCACCTGACAGTTGGTTAGTAACTGTTACCATCTGACATATTTTGCGAAAAAAATTCCCAACTAACAACGACCACAAAAAATTAAAAAAAAAGTTAATAAAGCCCAAAATCGAGAAAATAATATAAAACACACATTGCAGAAGGCGTCGCTCGTGACCAAATTTTGAATTCGTGCAGTGAATATGTGGCCTTGTGTGCAACTTGTATTTTATTATAATATTTTAATATTATTGTAGAGTTAAATTATTTTAATTACCTCAAAATACTTCCTAAAAAATTGAACAAAATTAAACTACAAATGCATTTTTGTTTATTCAAACTACATAAAACACTCCTGTACTCATTATGTTAACTGATATCATCAAAAAATTATCTATTCATCATTTCATTTAGTTGATTACATTACATATTGATTAAAATATTCTGAAGGTTCAAATATTTACATAAAAAGCTAGCGTGAAAAATATATACTGTAATAAATATTCAACAATTTTGGGTGAAATCTTAGATTGCCGTTTAGATTAAACCTCTTTCTTCAAAATTGTTGGCAGTTCATTACAAATTCCCATTATTAAAAATATGGAGTAATCGACAAAAAAATGTTCCTTGGAAAAAGTCATATATCATCTCGTGACGTACAATTCTTCTTTTTAAGTGTCAGTTTGACTTTAATTGAGTGCCGTGTGTAGTTATCACAGACATGACTCATATATTTGCCTTCATTGGTCGTGGCCTACTTTAGAAACATATTTTGTGTATCACTCTTTATGTTATTATAAATTGTATGAAGTAAAAAGGTTGTTTTTGTTTTTAATATTTTCATTAGTAATTTATAATCATTATTTTCTTTTCTGGAAATTAAACCTTAAATAATTGGCTGCAGGTCTTCTTTTAATGAGATATTCTGTGATATATTATCGTCGTTAATTGCAACCTTCTTAGTTATTTAGTTTTTTCCTAAATAAAAACGTTTGACTCCCTTCTCTTTTTAAATTAAAAAAAAATTGAATAGAAATATTTTTAAATGTACAATACACTTTAAATCCTTTTGAAACTTTTGTTATCAGAGACACAGTCATAAAAACATATTTATCAGCTAAACCCTTAGAGAAAAAATATTTAATTAACACAATTTATACAATGCTGTAGCTTAGGAAAATTGAATTAAAGTTGCATCTAGAAACGATATCTGATATGATATGATTCAAAAATAAATAAATGGATTACTCTGTATCTCTATCTTTGGCAATTTGAAGTGAAAAATATTTTTTTATACCCTCGTGGATATTAGCTTATCTACGCACGGATTACAAAACGAAAAAGTGACGAATAAGTGACAAGCCTGTCAAACTAATTGTCAGTATATTTTTTTAGTAATTGAGATTAAATATACGTTAAAATTAGTTATTTTTGTGAAGGTTCGATAAATAATCGTAAATAATAGCATTTTTATTTTTATTTGGGCCATATTTAAAAAAGAAAAAATAAATTAATTTTAATCAAACTATACCTATGTAATTATTTTAATTACGAGTATTAAAACCAAAATCGTAAAAGTGGCCGTAGATGCGTGGCAGATTTTCGGCCGGCGACTAATTTTTATTATTTCATATTTACTTTATTTTAAAAATCAGTAAAATTCCTAAATTATTTTAAAATTAGTTATTTTGTC